TACCTCTAGACAGCCTCGATTGCACATTCAGCCAAAACATTTTCATCTCTGAGTTGTGAGTTGATCCACCGAATAATATATGTTCGGGACATGAAAAGATGACGTCCACTGAGAGGGCGTCATGAATCAATCCATAGCCTGACACAGATGCGGCACGGGACTCACGATACCGACTCCTGAGCAGATGGAGTTGCGGATAAGTTCTCTCTCAAGTGGAAGCTCGCACTTGATGCCTAGTGGCGGCCCCATCCACTGATTTGGGAACTCTGCGGCCCGTCTCTGCAAAAGTGAGCCGAGATGAACAGTGCATCCGGAATTGGAACACGGTACACTTCCCCCGCTTAGTTTACAGGAGGACTACCTACTACATTCTGCGCCTACAAGTATACGCTGAAGGTGCCATTCCAACCGCAAGTCCCCGGCCTTCGTCGAATGCGATTTATCCTGCCCGACGACTGGAAACGTTCCCTCGACCACTTTCCATCCGCACATCCCATCTTGCCGAGCAAGATACAAACGTCAAATCTTCAGCGCCAAAACTACCTAGGTATCCTTCATCATCTGCTGTGCTAGATTCACGCCGCGGCGCAATTCTCATCTCTTCTCGACCTGCAGCCCGCAGATTGCGACTCGAGCCCTCTTTTTTTTTTTTTTTTTTTTTTTTTTTTTTTTTTTTTTTTTTTTTTTTTTTCCAGCAGTTCAGGCCATATACAATCACGATTTCTCGGCGCCCAGCCTCTGAAGCTCAGGGCCTTCAGAACACCCTTCACGCCCTACTTTGCTACCTATATTGACATCATACCTGTCTCAAACCTCAAGAGCGATCGCATCGCGTGTCGGGAAAGTGATCGCGAATCTTCCAAAGGAAAGCCATCGGGGTAGATCGGAGAGGGGCTATTGTGAGGGCAATTGAACGACACCTTGAACACACACTGGATTTTGGCAATAGGGCCACATTTGCGACATCAATCCCGACGACTGTGGACAGCGAGCCTCGACCACAACCACGATCACGGCGCTGTTCGCGCGCCAGATGCGACACCGGAGAGACCAAACCTTATGGCGATTGAGGCATAGACAGCAGGAGGCAGAAGGATTGCCAAAGCGCATTCCCAGCGGTCTTTTGCCGTCATTTGCGACCGATTTAGCATGGAACCACGACAGCTCTTCAGCGACCCGACGGCCGATCCGATATCTACCGCCGGGGCCGCCAGCAATGCTCTCAGCTGCGCTTCTTTCAACCTCCCCGAAGGAGGCATTCTCCAACTCCCCAATGGCGAGATCATTACGCTTAGCGCTCCGGCCGCCTTCAAACCGCCATCATGCAATCTCGCCCTTCGTTCCGTTCCCAACATTATTGCTTCTGGCGGAGTCGTAGGGGGGACTGCAAGTGGCACCATGGGACTGAAAGCAGATGACGACTCCCACTTTTCGGACTGGCGTGATCCGTTCTATGCGTCGACGTTTCCGCAATGCTACGCTCTTGCGGCGACGACCATTGTCGCATACACTTTGGTTATCATGCTCTTCATCACGCCGAGGTCATTTCTTGATGGCGGAGTGGTTGTTCTGGGACGAAAAGGGTTCACAAATGGCGGCGGCGGCACCAGCATCGGAGGACGTCCTTGGTTGCAGAAAGTTGCAGCTCTCTCGGTCGCCATTTCACTGACTATCGCCAACGCAGCCACGTTTCGCGCCGCCGAGCAACAGTATTCCTGGGGGGTTCAAAACGCCAAACAACTACAAGAAGATGTTCTTGGTGGGGCCGAACTCAAAATCATCCGCATTATATCCGACACCTTTCTATGGCTCGCCCAAGCCCAAACTCTGATTCGTCTGTTCCCGCGCCAGCGAGAAAAGGTGATTATCAAATGGACGGCTTTTGCGCTCATCACGTTGGACGTCATTTTCCAATCACTCAACAGCTTCAAATATGGTGGTTCCGACCTTACACGGCCCAAGTTCACCGAGGCTGTGCCTGCCCTTAGTTATCTGTTCGCCCTCGCTTTGGGGGTTCTCTATGCTGCTTGGGTGTTATACTACTCGATTATGAAGAAGCGGTACGCGTTTTACCACCCCTTGATGAAGAATATGATCCTCGTGGCCGTCCTGTCCGTGGTCTCCATTCTCGTTCCTGTTGTGTTCTTCATCCTCGATATATCGAAACCTGACTTCGCGGGCTGGGGAGACTACGTCAGATGGGTGGGGGCTGCTGCTGCTAGTGTCATTGTCTGGGAATGGGTAGAGAGAATCGAAGCATTGGAAAGGGAAGAAAAGAAGGATGGAATATTGGGAAGAGAAGTGTTTGATGGAGACGAGATGCTCGAGGCATCACAATCGGAACATGCCTGGCCAAAGATGAAGAGAAAGGGTTCGGGCGGTTCGGATTCGCAGGATACGGAAAGTGGTGGAGGTGGCAAGGACGGCGGGCCCAGCCTGTCGAGGTTTGGTGCTTGGTCGAAGATTAGCACCTTGACATCAAAGCACCGCACCGAGCCCAGCTCTAGAAACGAGCCTAACGAGGGAAGCTCGCCGGTGGCGGAAACTACAAATGACGACGAGAGGCCACGGTTCTTATCACCGCCGTTATGGCCCGCACGACCAACTCCGGCAGCTACGCCAGTGAGCCGGACGGACACCACTAGCGCCGCGAGTACCATGTACGCTGTCAGATACCATACCATGACAGAGCTGACATCGTATGGTACGCCACCACCAACACGCAATATGGGGCGCTTGTCGGGGAGTGAGAGTCGTGGTTCCAGTCGACATAGAGACTATGGGAGCGCGAGCCCCGGCTCAGCGCCTGCTCAGGATGCTCGCTCAACACAAAACTCCCATGTGGGGGCAAAAGCCTCATCAGCAGGAAGCAGATGGCACGCACTTGCACCAACAGTTTCGAGCAGGGATTTCGTAACGCGTTCGGAGCCACGAAGCAGCAAGATGCAGCGCGACGAGAATTCTCGATGGGATCTCCGCGCTAGAGTTGAGGAGTTCGCAGCAACCCAAGCCGAGAATCTACGCGAGAAGTTCCGCCCAACTCTGGATACCAACAACTTGCCCGTCACCGTTATCCCCGCGCCACCGCGAAGAGGCGCCGCCATCGCCCAGCTCTGTGAGGATGAAGAGCTTAATCATTCATCAAGGGAGGGAACGGTTAGGGAAGAGAGCCGGAATAGCAACGCTTCGGGAACGGTGGTTGCGGTAGGGGGGACTCAGACGCCGATACAAACTCCTTCTTCTCCTCCACCACGAGCGGCAAACAGCAGCATGAGCACAGCGCAAATGCCCCGGCCACAACTGAGTCCCATCGTTACCCAGGGCTCATTTACCAACAACAGGTATAACCACCTGCCTGTGACGGTGATACCAGCTCCACCACGGCAAGACCCAGCCAGAGCACCGTCGCAGCCGCAATCACCGTCGCTAGTTGCTCTGGGTAAGCAACCAGCGAGAAGCGACTCCTCAACGACACCGTCTCCTTGACACGGCTGGCACGCCTTTTCTATCTATCATCCTTGGGTATTTTTGGGATTGTTTCTACATTTTTCTATAGGAGATACCACATGTTACTGCATTGTTTCGGCGTCTAGCGAGGATCAAAAAAGGGCGTTTAGGATGGAAGCTCGTAGGTGAGGTGGTCACCATCACCGTCGGGATGTTCGGGGCCCGCGGAAGGGGGAAATGAGAGGCTATATGGTTCATGTCTGGTTGTACATTCAATGGCAACTTTCTTGGATGTTCACTACCTTATACTTTCTCACTGATTGATGGCACTTTTGAGGTACCTACCCTCTATGAAGGATTCATGAATTTTGGATGAAGTTGCCCCTGTCAAGTTCTGTCTGCAATTTGTTTGCGCGCTTGGGTCATATCAAAGGATGGAGTTGTTCTTGGCGGCCGGTCGCAATGACCTGACGTTGGTGGAAAAAGTCTTTTGCAATCCCTTGTGAAGTGTGAGCCCCCTTTTCTGCTAACAAACTGCCTCCACAGAATGGTCGTAGCCAGTTAGGTACATAAGGCACCTAGCCAGTCAGCAGGGTTCCGCGGACTCGGCAGCCCTTGGAGTTGCACTCCCCATCGGGACACCTGCCGACTCCAAAGAGTGGTGCCGTCCAATCCAGCCTCGGCTCGTGAATGTCAGACTTATGCGCACCGCTAACCTGTTTTACCACCTATTTCCCGCGGCCTTGGCGAACATCATCACTTTTGATCACGTTGATGAAAATGCATTCTCTTCACGGCCACGTACTCAAGACATCGAGAGAGTGCATGGTCTTGGAAAAAGCGTTGTTTGCTCATGAATTTGCAGTAGGAACAAAGTTCTTTGGTGAAGTACTTGATGGCCGAGCTTTTGACCATCAAAATCTGTAGTGGCCTCTGCGCGCGGTGCGCATAGGTACCTGAATTTTGACATGAGCAAGCTCGGGTCTCTTGAAGACAAACCCCCCTGATCCTCGCCATCGGCCTCTCCAGTATCCCCGTAGATTAGGCCAATGAAGATTTGTTTTGGCAAGACTAAGAGTGAGTGCGCTTGGCGATTTAACTTGATGGGGAAGCGGGGGAAGAGAAGAGACGGAAAATAGAGACGGGAGCTTTGCGACTTGACCATAGGATGAAGAGACTGGTGAACACCTACCCGGACCGGTTGACACTTCACCTTTTTGCGCCATTCTTCACCTCGTCACTGGCTTCTCACCTCAACCTTCTTCCTCCAGAGGTGTTGTTTGGGTCACGGCGGTGGAAACAAGGGTCCAATTAAGCGGTCTGTGGGGTCGGTCGCGGCGGAAGACCCGAACAGGGGAAAATTGGGTGTTTGTCGGGACCGTGAAGCGTTTTAGCGTCATGCCAGCCCCCTAGTCCTGCGTATGGAGTCCATCCTAGGTGGGCGCTGAGGTGAGGACGAGGTGTGGTGCCGTGGTCCCTACCGCCTTCCGTTCCGCGGCTGAGCGACACGCCGTGGAGAGAGCCCCAGTCTCTCACTTGAGGCCACTCCCCCTCCAACACGAAAAGACGGGACCATCTTCAAAATCGGAACTGCCCCCCTTTGCAACGGCTCTTCTTACTCTGCTTCCAAACTTCTTCACAAGAAATTCTTTTCTGTTCTTTTTTTTTTCTGTTTCCTTTACGGTGCAAGGGGCGCACCAGAAGCAGCATCAGCAGCTTACTCTTATTATTGTTTTAATTCCCCTCCGAGTTTCACAGGATTCGGTCACGCCCCTCCTTTTTTTTTTTCTAGCTTACCTGCCCGTGGAACGAGCGCACGCGTACTCCTACTCCTTCGGCCTTCTATCGTGATCTGGCTTGGCGCAAACGAAGAGACGGTCGGGGTCTGACTGCGGCTTTTTGAAGGAAACAAAAAGAGCAGCAACGACCTTTGGATACTGGGAATCCCTTGGGTCTTGCGCTTCTACGTCTCCCATCCCGGAGGCTGTCCGACTGACCAGCCATCCACCACCACCACCACCACCACCACCATGGCACCCTCGACAAAATCAGAACCGTTTCCGGAGCTCAGCTCGGCGGCAGACCGCCAATTACACTCCGAGGCTACCGCAGCCCGTCGCCGTAGAAAGTCGAGCGGCCTTGGACAAGCATTGCGCGTCGGTGACACTGGCGCACCCGCCTTGGCCACCAGTCTTGCCCTCTCACAGAAGGTAAGGCATCGTCCCATCTTGAACACCAGGCCATGGACAGGGCAACAAGAAGAGAAGCTGACTGCAGTTGTCATACAGGATTCCAAAGATGTCGCTGCGCCACCAGGCAAGAAATTTTCTAAGCGGCGCAAGGCGCGCTCCCTCCTCCGCCGCGCCAAAAACTATGCCATCAAACACACGTGGGCCTTGCCCTTGGCCATCCTGATGGCATTCCTATCTCTCTACGCCATCAACCCGACCGAGAGCAACCCGATCCACCGCTTTATCTTCCTCTCATACAAGCTACCGACTTCGAGTCCCGATGAGATCCCGCAATACGGCAAAGGCCTCTGGGACATTGCCTTTGTATCCTTCTACACCATCGTCTTGTCCTTCACCCGCGAGTTCATCATGCAGGAGGTTCTGCGCCCCATGGCGCGCTGGGCCGGCCTCAAGTCGCGCGGAAAGCAGGCTCGGTACATGGAGCAAATGTACACGGCTCTCTACTTTGGTATCATGGGACCCGTTGGTATGTACGTCATGAGCCGCACGCCCGTCTGGTACTTCAACACCGTCGGCATGTACGAGAACTTCCCGCACAAGACCCATGTGGCTGTGTTCAAGTTTTATTACCTTTTCCAGGCTGCCTACTGGGCGCAGCAGGCCATCGTGCTTCTCCTGGGAATGGAAAAGCCCCGGAAGGATTTCAGGGAGTTGGTCTGCCATCATATTGTCAGCTTGGCCTTGATTGGCTTGAGCTACCGCTTCCACTTCACCTACATCGGTCTTGCGGTCTACATCACCCATGACATCAGTGATTTCTTCTTGGCGGTAAGTCCCCGCCCAGCATCCCTGAGTCAGGGCATGGCGCGTTTGCTAACTTGCCCAATTTCCAGACATCCAAGACTCTCAACTACCTCGACCACGCGCTCACCGGCCCCTACTACTTCACCTTCATGTGTGTATGGATCTACCTGCGCCACTACCTCAACTTGCGCATCATTTGGAGTCTGTTCACCGAGTTCAAGACCGTTGGCCCTTACGAGCTCAACTGGGAGACTCAGCAGTACAAGTGCAGCCTCTCCTTCGTCATCACGCTCGCTTTGCTCGGCTCCCTTCAGGCGCTCAACCTCTTTTGGCTGTTCTTCATCATCCGCATCGCTTACCGCTTCGTTGTCCATAAAGTTGCCAAGGATGACCGCAGCGATGATGAGTCGGAGTTGGAAGACGATGTTACCGAGGAGAAGCCTACCGCTAATGGCTCTACCACCAAGAGGTAGATTGGGGGGAGTAACAGCATCTTTCTGTTATCATTACCGCTTGTACTAGAGTCACTATAATTGGGGGGGTTTCCGGTGATGATGTATGACGTGCATCTATATCTATCTATTTGTACACGACTTCGGCACATTAAACGTCCCCCCCATCATGTTTGTATATGGAAAAAAAGGGAGTGGGAGTGAAACGACGGTGTACATCATTTGTAACTACATGGAAATGAATCACACACCATACGACCATCTGGGATGAATCGGGGAAGGGATTAGAAAAGGGTTCGGGAAAAGAAGCAATGAAAGGAAGAAAGGATACTTGCACAAGTCCTGTGCATGAAAAATCTACATAATTGGCTATCACACACTCGCTTCTCAAACGGCGACCCTTGAAACATACAGTGGTGCAAAGGATAAAATAGGGATAAGTAAACAAAGTGAAAGTGGGATCACGAACTATCTGGCCACGTCAAACTTCTCGGTCCTGCTGTCAAGATTAATTAGCAATCATACGGGCTTCCTCAAAAGCCATTACCATATGGCCAATCATCGAATTGATACAAGACTGGGTCGACCGATATCATCCGATCTTGGTAACTTCGTGGCAGTCAAGGGCAGTCTGTCTGTGCGGGTAACGATACAACGAATCTTCTTACCGACTTTTAGATCCGCCCACGCCGCTCTACCGATGACGCTCAATGTCTAGTAATTTGACTCCGATTCGGAGTTTCAAGAACGTCACCATAACGCCCAGCTGCCAAGGGTCTCCTCCTCTGAATACCACGAAAGACGGCTAAGTAAACGACGAGATAGCATCGGAATGGTGATACATGCTAGGTCCCTATGCTTCACCAAGGACGGGAAGAAAAGCGTCAGTCGCACGAAAAGCATGGCAACAAAAAGCACGTACGTTTGTGTCAATTGAAGGGTTTTCGAAAGAAAGAGCAAGTACGGTCACAAAACCAGTATCATCGATCTGCAACCCAGGAGCCAGTACGAACCTCATCTCGGGAACAGCAACCAGGAAAGATATTGAGAATAAGTGCAAGAATGAAGAAGTAGTGATGGATGATAAATAGGGGAAAAGACGATAGCTGAACTGGAGAGGATTGCATCGATATACGGAGTAAAACTTAGGAAAGACGGCTGGCTCACTTGATTTGCTATGTACGTCCAGAACCTGGGCTCTTCAAAGAAGTACGTACACAGGGACAACTGTTCCGAATCAAGACAATTTAATATTTTTTTTTTCTTCTAATTAACACCATTCTTCCTCCGCTCTTCTTTTTTTCCCTTTCTTTATCTCTCTTCACCTGTTTCCCCTTCCCCTTCCTCCTTTGACATATTTACGTCCTTCCACTTCTTCAAGTACCACTTTTTAAACCCCAACCCCCCCCCCCCCCCCCAAGCTCGAGTTTAATTTATACTACGAGTATCCCGCCCCTACCTCTACTTCTTCATGAGACCTACCATCATTTACCACTACCACTACCCCAACCCCAAGACTTCTTCTTCTCCTTCTCCTCGGCTGCCTTTCTCTCATGCTCAATCGGCACCGCCATCAACTCGAAATGCTTGCTGTGATCAACCACGCTAGGCATATTCTTCCACTCGCTGTACTCAAAGTGCTCGGTGAATCTGGATTCCCGTCCGGGCTGCACGGAGCTATTGGGGAAGGTGGGTTTGTATGATGTTGATGTTGTTGTTGTTGTGGGTTTGGGTGTGCTAAGGTATGAGGGGGTAGTGGTGGTGGTGGTGCTGGTGGACGCGATGTTGTGGGAGAAGGAACTGATTCCTGTTCCTGTTCCTGTCCCTGTCCCTGTCCCTGTTCATGAGAAGGTGGAGGATGCTAGTCGGAAAACGGGGAGGGGTGAGTGTGGTGTTTTGGTGTAAAGGTGAAGGGGAGAAAAGAGAAAGAAGGATAAGAAGAAAACAAAAGGGAGACAGGGGTGCGGAAAGAAAGCAAGTGGCTGAAAAAGTAAACTTCACTCACAGCCTCCCGTGATTGAGGAGGAAGTTGTGTTGTTATTGTTGATTGTTGAGTTAGAATTGGACATGGTGAGTATTTGTGGGTTGATTAAATAAGAAATCCGGGCCCGATAAAGTTGATTCTTCTCTTCTGGCGACACTGATGATAATGCTGGAGGCAGCGATGCTCCTGCTATACTGAATGAAACTTATCGACTATTAGCAGGCATCTTACTCTTCAGTTGGATGCATCCTCGGACATGATTATATATCTCGAGGCTGGAACACTTGGAATGCGCAAACTACCTCTCCCCAATTTCTACATGAACAGGTGTCAAAAACCTGCGTTTGATGTTAGCCATCACTAATCGATATCTGGAACTGAATGCTGCTTCACAAAGTCGACATTGGCACATATGGGAGATGGATGACAGGCAAACTATCAGCTCCGAAACACTCGACCTGTTGGATGACCAACACTCGTTTTCTTCTTCTTACGGGAAGTGCCCGTGAAAAATATCGAACCATGACTTCTCTTAGACCTTTGTAAGTTGCATCATGCAAAAAGGTTCAGAGGTCATACTGGTCTTCTGAGCAGGCCTGAATCAGATCATCGTGATGACACCTCGAAGCCTCACTTTCCACAGATGTGTTTGACGTCTGGAAAGTTGATTTGTTTTCAAGCACATGTATTGATGGAGAGGTCTGTCCAGTCTGGTAAAGGCGGGAAGTCTCCGGACATACATGAGTGAAGCTAACGAGGCTTGAGTCGAGGCTTGAGCCACTCATGGGACTGCCCCGTAATCCAGCTACTTGTAAGAGCGAACAGCACTTTCCAAGTTTTTGTTCGTTGGCCAAGTTGTTCTTGCTATTTCTGACATTTGAACCCATGATACCCTTCTATTTCTTTTTTTTTTCCCTCGTGGCCACTCCTTCTCCTTCTCCGAAGACACGGACTCGTCCATGACAAAAATGATGAGACCTTTGCAGTCCGATACCGCTCGCTGTAGTGAAGAAGAGCCGTTGCTAAACTATAATAGGGATTACGGCAATTCGAAAACACGTCGGCTAGTGTCCTTTGGGATATTTCGATTCGGGATTTGCCTAGAAATTAAGCTCAAAGGTGCAGTAAAGACGCTTGGATGCGTGGTAAGAGTATGCCCAAGGTATAATGTCAAAGGTTTGTTATGTTTGTCCAGGACGAGACGGAGTAGGTACAGCACACAGCATTCATTGTCGCTCCCCTAATACATCTCCTCACAACTCTCACTTCCAAGCACAATGACTCAAGGCATGATCCAGCAGCAATCATGACACACACCCTCTTTCATTCAACTGAAGACAGTTCATCTGAAGTATTACAAACTACAAATGCACTACACGCTAAGCTCGCTGGGTATTTACCTCCGCTCTGAAGCATCTTCCTTTTCATTTCGAGCTGACAGAGTGAACCATCTTCACTCAGCAGCCAACACCAGATCCATTCACTAACAGCATCGCTCTGGGTATCTTGCTCCACCACTCCCACCCCTCCCACAAACCTGTGATAACGCAAATAGCCGCCCTTCAAAGACTTTTAATGACAACTCGCTCATATACTAAGCATTGCTTACTCGCTTACTTGCCAAACGTTGCTCGCTTGCTCGCACATGCTTAGTGACCAGGAACAGATAGACCGAAGAGGGAAACGGAAAAAAAGAGGTCTCGCTCACATCTAACAAACAGGTAGGGAAAACACGGGAAAATAGAACAGATGCGAAAGGAGGATGGAGTGAAATTGTCATCGATGGGCCATCAGCCATCGACCGGATGAATTAGTGTCTCTTTATGAGTGTTTGGGAAAACCCCATCACGAACTGATAAGTCCTTCGTTTCCCAAGGGCTGTAAGGTCGTGACCCTAAATCACTTGATAAACCACTCAATGGTGATAGATACCTCTGGGTATTACCCCCCCCCCCCCCCCCCCTCCTCTCCTCCCCTTTTCTTCCTTTCCCCTTCTCCACATCCTCTGTTCACCGTTTCTGCTCCGTCTGCCCTGTCCGATGCCGGGCTGTAAAGAGCAAAGTGTGAAAAAGGCAAACCGGAGTGTAACACCATGACACACGGCTCCCAATGCACGAAAAAAAAAAAAAAAATAAAGATGGAAGGGACATATCAAGAAACCAAAGAAGGGGCCTACAGTATATCACTGGACCAGAGCAACAACTTCTTTTAAAAGGTGGCCCCAAGAAACTCGAGTGGAAAGGGACAAAATTATGGCCCATATTGCATTAAAGGAATCCCCACCAACGCCAGCCATGCTTGGGAATCTTATCTCATGGTTCGCGTCTCTCGTTAAGCGGCATGTTTGAATAAGAAAAGGAAAACAGAAAGAGATTTTATAGACAGGAGGAAATGCGAAGTGGGTGATTATTACGGTCCCGCCACGGGGACCAGCTGATGCTTCGCTGAGAACGAAAACGATACCAAAACATGCAATATGTCCAGCATGGTATCAACGAGTGAGGTTGACTTGGCTTGTCGCCCATGGTGACCGATTATTAGGTGTGGCTACGTTGCAAATGCATAGACTCTCGCTGGAACACTGATGCATCGTTGACTGAGTCGTTCGGGGGCCCTCATGTACTGGCTCGTACCCTACGTGGCAAAGAGTAACTTGAGGACAGTCCGGAACGCGAGGCATACGAGGCTGAAAGCGGTTGACCATTGTCTCTGCGTCCAGCGATTGGTTGTATCGCCGCGATTCGCGGGTCGTAGGCACTATTGTGGTTGTCCTCCTCGTGAGAATCATCGCTCGCTTCGTCATGAAGAGTTCCCTCTGATCCACTGACCGAAGCGCTGCTGTCATCATCCGAGTGTGAGCTAGTACCCCTATGAGAAGTGGTGTCTGACTCATTGTCCGGCGTCGAGGTACCAGCAGTTGGGCTTTTCAGCCCTGTCTGCAGAATAGCGGATGAGGCCATGCTATCCCCATCTGAGTGATCGTCATCTCGTGAGAGGTTGGCTCGACTCAACAGTTTTTGAGCCTTCAGGGTGGCTCTCAGAGCGTGCTCTGCCGCGCGCTCAGCACGACAATGCTTCTCCCACATGGAAGCATAGCGGCCACCCAGAGCTAGGAGCTCCTGATGCGTGCCTTTTTCGACCATGGTGCCAGCGTGAAGGACAATGATTTGATCCGCATGCGTAATAGTTGACAGTCGATGCCTGTAATACATATTATCGTTAGCAACTTTTCAGTGATGATCAGTACATAAGCCACTTACGCAATGATCAGGAGCGTACGGCCCTCGCCAAAATTGCCGCTGATTAGCTTGGACTGGATCTTCTGCTCTGTCTCACCATCCAAGGCTGATGTCGCCTCGTCCAACATGATGATTTGTGGGTTTTTGAGAATTGTGCGCGCGATAGCGACACGTTGCTTCTCACCACCGCTCAAGCGAAGGCCACGCTCGCCAACTTTGGTGGCGTAGCCGTCCGGGAAACTCAGAATACGATCGTGAATCGCAGCCGCCCGGCAAGCATCATACACATCTTCCTCGGTTGCGTTCGGGTTCGCATATTTCAGGTTGTACATGAGGGTCTCGTTGAACAGGATAGTATCTTGCGGAACAACACCAATGAATCGGCGCACTGAGTCGATGGTCAAGTCTTTCACGTCATGGCCGTCCATCTGTATGCTTCCCTCCTGGCAGTTGTAATACCGGAACATCAAACGGAAAACGGTGGATTTGCCACCTCCAGACTCGCCGACAAACGCGGTGGTAGTTCCGGGCTTGCACTCGAAAGACAGGTCATGCAGGGCAGGCCTGCGCTTGTCGTACGAGAACCCGACGTTGTTCCATTTCAAATGGCCGCTGCAGCTTGCCAAGTCTTGGACATCAGGGCCGTCGATGACAGAAGGCTGGATTTTGAAGAGTTCAAGGAGTCTCTCTCCGGAGATCATGGCTTGCTGGATGGTCCGGTAAAAAGTACCAAAGAAGTTAAGTGGTCCTTGTAGTTGGCCGAGATAAGTGATCAACGACACAAACTCACCAAGGGTCCGAGTGCCTTGGCTGACCTGATACGCGCAGGTCATCATGATGACAAGAAAGCCGCACATGAAAACCATGGACTGACACATGTTCATGTGATTCATGCCAAAGGTCACCTTGGCCTCGGCTGCCTGGAAGTTGAGGATCGCATTGCGGTAGCGCGCAAACTCGTATTTTTCGGCGTTAAAGTACTTGACCGTTTCGTAAGACGTGATCGAATCGTTCTTAACCGCCTCTTCCTCTCTATCCGCATTGACCATATCGCGTCGCTGGTCAGCCCTGGTTGCCGCCATACGGATCGTCAAAAACAAATAATAAAAGGTGATGACCGAGACGAACAAGGCGTACATGGGCCCGAACTTGACATAGAAGAAGATGATGGCTATGAAAAGGTCGATGAGCATAGGAACCACTTGGAAGGTTGTCTGCTCCAGGAACTGGTTGATAGAGGCTCCCTTGTTGAGGGCGGAAAGGACCTCTCCAGTGCGTTTGCCAAGGTGGAAATCCAGTGACAAGGAATGCACATGCTCAAATGCAGCTGTCGTCAATGCTCGGTAGGTATGCTGCGATACGGGAATCCAGAGGATCGACCTCAAAGACCCAAGCAATCCAGAAGGCCCTTGAAGCAGCTTGTATAATACCAGGAGTCCAACCTGCATCCACGGCATTTTGAAAACCCCGTCCTTCGGCTCCAATGCATCGGTAACTCTCCCCATCTGAGCGGGAACCGCAATGTTGACAAAGCGCTGAAGAAGGACCAAAACAAAGCACACAAGTATGATGCCCTGGAGCTTGAGAGAATTTGCTGGCCAAAGATATGGGAAGAAGACCGAATAACCGCGGCAGTATTCGAACCAGGTCTTGTGAGGGAGTTTCTGAGGTCGGTAAAATGCCGCTTCCGCATCACGCTGTTGACAACCCGCTTCCCCAGCGCCATTTTCGCTCCCAAATCCAGAGTCGGTCCGTGGAAGTCTGCGATCATTGCCTCTGTTGGAGCCGGTGTGATAGTTCGGGTGACTTCCGTTTAGCAAAGGACTTGACTCGTCACTATCGGAGTGGCTTGCTTCTTCGTCATATCGCTGTTTTTCCTTGATACACTTCCTGGTCGTTAGAGCAGCATAGGTGAACACCATAACCGTTACGATTAGTATACGGACGGCACCAATGCTGAGATCCACAAGGTCCCACCCGTCCAAGCCATCAGTTTGTTTCGGTATCGGGTCCTGAGCGCCGAGGTTGGAGTAGTGGCTCCCGGTAACAATGAGGGCGAATGATAACAGGACGACAATTTCGCCGCCGAGGCCGAGAACCCATGTGATGAAGTGGACGATATTCGGGCTGTGTTCCCAGTCAAACAACGTGATGAGAACGTATACGTAGAAGAAAGCTGACCCAGCAACGTAAACCTTTAAGCGGAGTTGTAAGTACATCAAGCCAATAGTTTGATAGCCCATTAGGACCAGATACTTGGAAGTGGGAACGACTTACGATGCGCTGTTCATCGCACCACCAATCGCCCACCTCCCCTTTCACTCCGCGAGCTGACACGGCGTGAAGGGCGATAGCAGCACCGTTGGCAACAAATGATAGTACAAGACCAGCCGAAAGGTACTGAAACACGGTCTTGGCCACGTCGCCGTTGTGAACAAAGGGTGCTTGAATGTCATGATGCTCACGCCTTCTCTTGGTAAAGGGTAGAGGTTTGCCGCCGGGGCCCTTGATGGTTGGGGCAACTACTTCCTCCTCGGTCTTGGAAGTGACGATACTATGGATGCCGGCTGAGATGATGAAGGCGAATAATAGAACGACTGGATAGCATAGCTGAGAATTCCTAAAGACGACTTCAGCGAGGCTGGGCTGAAAGCCTCGTCCACTCTTGAGTGCGTCCATGTTGGGCCTGCACACAACTGAGGGTTAGAAGAGAGCCCGGTAAAGTGGTTGGGTGGTTGAGTGAGAGGAGTTGAAAAGGTGAAATAGAAATAAGATGAGCTTGGGAAGGAGAGATGTGGGAGCCAAGGCGGGGAGGCAAGAAGTACCTCTCTTGGAGGACAGGGGATGGAAAGGCAGAAGCAGATGAATGATCAGAAGGTGGCACTGCATGCTAGCTCGACGAGCCCAGGCAATGCTTGACGGGAGCTGACATACAGAAAGAGGCAGGATTTAGAGAAGAGAGGAGAAGACGACGACGAGGCAGAGGCAAGGCCGCCAGATCATGACCCTCGGGACCCTCGAGATGTCCTTGGCGATTTTGAGTGGTGGTTGGCCGAGTTCAAGTGAAAGTTGCGGTTGAGGTTCCGGCTGCGCGCAGTGGCGGCAAACTGCAACCGAACTGGCAAACTGGATGAGGACGGCGGCAGAAGAAGCGAGCGTATGTTTTGAATAGAGAGGCCGAGGCTGGAAAAGGCCAAGGAGATCCGGGAGATAGGCAGACGGTAACGTTGGGGTAGGAGAAGTATGAAGCTGCAGACGGCTGCCGAGGTGATGGCGTAGCAGGGTCGGCGGGAGTGTATATTAAAGACGGGACGGTGTAGATGAGATGCCGTACTCGCCCACTATCGCGCTGCGTGTGCGTGTGCGTGTCTCTGGGTAAACCCTCGAGACCGCTCTTGTCCCGCTGCTGAATGCTGTTGGGTCGACAGGTTGTCGTCGAATGGCAAGGTCTCTAGCAAGGTGCGTCACGGTTCAAGTTCCCGTCAACTTGCTGAGCACCGAGACCGAGTCCAGTAAAAGTAGGTACTGTAGAGAAGTACCTCGATCGAGTCGGCGGCCTGTAGACGGATGGTGGGGCAGCCAGCGCCGCAGGCGGGAGCAGGTGACGGGTTTGGTGGTGCGGCGGCTTTTGCCACTTGAAAGATCGATCCTGTCTGGGGCTGAACCGAGTCAAGAGATGTCGTTGCTGCTGATGAGGTCCAGCTGAGAGGCAAGCCGCCTGGTTTGATGTTCAAAACCCACTTGAACCGTCGATAACCTGGATGGATGGAAGCCTGTGGATTTCTAAGCCTCCGAGGGGAGTCCACTTCCACTTGGTAATCAGGGTAAGTGCGACTTGATGGCAGAAGTGATCAATGTTTTGTCGGCTGTATCGTTACTGCCAAAAAGAGAAGCTCGAAAAGCCAGAGGATTTTGTACTTGGGTCCGGACGGGATGCAAGCCTAGTACAAGAGGCAAGTAGTAGGTAGGTGTACTGTACCTAGCACCCGAAGCACAAGATGCACAGCGGAGATCGAGGACAGACAGGGCAGCCCTATGGAGACGATGGTCAAGGACCCAGAGGAGAGGGGAGGGGAGGGGAGGGGAGGGGAGAGGAGAGCGGAAAAACAGAACAAAAACGAGTGTGGTGAGATGGAAGATGGAAGTTGAAAAGGAGTTGAGGTTGTTGGGAAGTCGGAGATGGAGAGTAGGTAGCTTTCAGACGAAAGAAGACGCGGGACGGCAGACAGATGCCCATGCGACATGCATCCGCCTCACAAACGGGACGACGGAGGGGTCGACGTCCTTCTTGGGTTGAGCTAGAGAGGATCCTCGTCTCAGGTCTCGAAGCCCGTTCGGTGCATGGAGGCCCTGGAGTATGAATGTACCGTAGAGGTAAGGCCGGGTACAAAACCGGGCAGCTGAAGGAGCCGGGCCGGACTTGTGTCGTCTGGTCTTGGGTTGTTCTTGCCCGTAGGGTACACAATGTACAACCTGCCCGCCATTAAACATGACTTGGTGTAAATACAAAATCAGAGATGCCACGTTAGACGCCCAATTGTGACATTGTCGGTTCTTTTCACCGTGACCACAACGAAAGGCGCAGATGGTTTGTCGTTTACGATTACTTGCGACTCCGTCGCTTTCTGTCGTTGGAGATGCGACACTCTACATACAGTAGACTGCGTAGTTCTCCTACGCAGTACTAGCCATATTGGCGACATTCCACAGTGGTTGTCTGGGCTCCGGCTGCAGTGCTTGTCCCCAAAGACAAGTGGAGAGCTTCTCCACACACACACACACACTTACAGCAACATCGCCTTCAAGCTAAACGCAGTGCCTGCATTGATCAGCCAATGAAACCGTCAAAGCGGCCCTGACAAGGGCGAGCGCAATGGGGAGGTTGGCCCAGGCCCGCGGCTGGCCCCTCCGAAAAGTCGGAGTCAAATCGATGTGTCTTTCTGGCTGGATCAAGACATCATGTTCGCCTTCCATTTTGAGCGTTACATACTTTCTTTGTTTCGCAGCACCAGAATCTGGGGCTTGTATCACGGATATGGAACCTGAATATCAGCACGACATATCATGCGCCCGGGCTCATGGACATGATGCTGTACCTAATGTATGTAGTATATACACGAACAAGTTGACATGTAGTGCAATCGGTACCTTACAGAGCTTACAACGTACCTGACGTCCTGATCGATCCCCACAATCTCGTCCCCGGTGCACATCATCATGTCTAATGCCATGCTCGCCTGGCATGGACTAGCAATAGCTTTTCCAATATAAATGTGCCTGTACCTCGCGTGTGTCATCACTGTCGTTAGGTTTTCTTTCTTTCTGACCACGAAAACCATACTGTGTCCATGCTGTCCTGATCACGAATGACAGACAATTGAGGTGGTGGGAGAAAACCAACTTATATTCAAAGGCCCCACTACATTGGGTGAGTGGTGAGTGGTCATCGTATGTTTAGTTGGAATGAAACACGGCATGGTGATTGGTTGTTTGGTTGGCCCTTGAGCTGCATCACTGCACCAGTTCCCGCTCATATGGGATCGATGTAACCGATGTTTCCTGTTGTCCTCCCACATGGGAGAAGACCCGAGTGTTGGAGTAGCTGACAAGGGTGGTTATTCTCGTACAGCGCAGGAAAGTGGACTTGCGATGTGGATGAGGACATTCTCGTACAGTCTTTGATGCTGTAAGCTCATGGCTGGAGGGGTGAAAGTCAAGACTCGAGAGACCAGAGATTATCTCGGGGAGTTGCGTGAAGCCTAAAAACTATGGACCTGTGGACGACCCGGCAAGCAATGAATGCCTTTCGTCCGGCGCGATGGACCAGCGACTTTTTTTTTTTTTTTTCTCTTTCAGTTCTATTCCTTGTCCGCAGTCCTCTCATCCTCGGCTGTCGCTTTTCGGGCTCCCGCGGTCTGCATTTGACAATAGGTAAGCAGACAGGGTACTCACTTTGACCACTTCCACATGGGACGGCGGGGATGGTCGGGGGCTGGCTGGGGATACGTATATGGGGTTGACGGGACGAGTTGCTGCCCGGGATTGCAGATGTCCATAGAAGGATGGAAGTTTTCATGGAAGCAAAACTCCTCCCATACAAGCCCTGCCCGACCCGTGGCAGCAGCACCATAGCGGGACGGTGATGACCGACGTGAGGACGGACTACGCGCTCATCAATCTCACCATGCTGGTCGTCCGGGAGTTATTGCAGTAAAGGGAAAGGATTGGGCCGTGATGGAACCGTGATGGAACCTTGATCGAAGGAGCGGACTCGGGCCTTTCCTTCCTTGCCCTTTCCTAACCTGACGATGTGAAACTGACCGGGGATGAGGAATCAAAAACGACAGTGCGTCGCCCCGCTCATTCTGCATCGCACCCTGCCGTGTACGTGCCTCGAGCCATGTTGGAGTTGTACTCTCGTCATCGCTGGTCTGGCGTTCTCGCGGAATCAGGGCAGCGTGCCTGGATGTGTTACGTGTCTCGATTTTGCCGGGCCCGGCCTGCCCTGTCTGCCGGGGGTGCGCCTGCTGGTGCGGGTCCGTTTCCATGGCCTCTTGAGGATCGGAGCGAGACGAGGTTCGAGGTTCATGTTGCCAAGGCTATCCGGCCCAGCCCGACGGGACGGCAGGTCGGACATTGGAGGATCGATGCGGCATTTGCGCTTCGATGAGAACTCGCTCGGCTGTAACACTAATAAAGTCTATTTGGTGGATTAAGAGCCAAAATATGATGCTGCCTGGGATCATAAATGGCTCGGACGAAGGCAGAAAATTCTTTGTTTTGCTTAGGTACCTCTACGTTACGGAAGGATGCCCGGATGTTGAGGTCGGGCAAGATAGTTTGAAGGTGAGACCGACCTACCGAGAGCAGCTCCGCAGTTCTCCGTCGAGGTATCGGTACCGAACAACAGGCTCAAGCACCATGCCGGTGTCCACCCACCTCTGCCCGACTTATTTGCAAAAGCAGGGGTCTTTTTTGTTTTTTTTTCTTTTTTTTTTAACAATACAGGTCATTGCGTCTTCGCTGCATGTCAGTAGTAGTATGAAACTTGTACTTTTGTAGTCGTGAAACCCCAACGACTCCGTGTCGCGGAGGATATCAACATTACTGACGATAACCGCGGTAAGGGAAAAGAAGAAGAAAAAACAAGAAAGAAGAAAATGTCAAACAGGACAGAGGTGGATAAAAAGCTTAACATTCTTCAAATAGAAAAGAAAAGGTAGTGTACATATCGGTCTAGAGGCATGCATACACGTCTAAGTGTAGTGTGGTGCAGTGTAAGTGTGTGTGTCTTGTGCTCCACCGTGCTGTCTAAAGCTTGACGTGATTGGTTCAGAATGCCTCTAATCATTCTTCCTCAATCGGCCTCTCCCACTGGCTTCACACGCTAAGAACTGAACTTGGCCGTTGTTGTGACCAACAAGGTACAACACCAAACTAGTGTAAGCTAACTACGCAGCCAGCTCGCACACCCTTTTCATTACAATTCCCTTCACCGCCTTGCCACTACTTCTGGTGATGAGACCGCGACCTGCTTCATGCATGCATGCCACATCGGACCGCATACAGCGGGACTACACTAGGCAGGACTAGCTTGAGGCAGCAGTAGGTAATGCTACGCCATCTTTTCTGCTGCCACAATGCTAGCTTCTGGAAACACATCGACAAGTCTTTGCCAGACCATTCAACAGACAAAACGACTCAGAAGCAAGACTACCTTAGTGCCTGGCTTGGGCTCAGCATATAAACTCACCGGTAGGAAATCGGCAATTAGATTTGCTTTCGCGGAAACTGTCGCCTTTTTGTCGTGCGTAACGCGCGTACGCACTATATCGGGTAGCATGTGTTACTATGTGACCGATGACTGTCTGGGAAGAGCATGGGAGTTCAACTGGGGTGCAAAATGCTTCTGCCCGTTCGTTCGTATGCTACAACGACAAACTGGGGAGACGCGGGCATGAGAGTATTCGGACGGCGGGACAAACGGGAGATGACGGGAGAAGGTGACTGGACCTTCCGCCGACGGAGCCATACGGGCCGGTCACCGGGAGATTCGTGTGGTCTCGTTCGAAACACGACATGAAGCTCCCAGAAGCTCTTTGCCAGCACGGCTACCACCGTCTCGATATACTGAATTTCCTTCTCAGCCGCTGTTCGACAAGAGTCAGGCTTATACCAAGGTCTTTATCTCAAGAAACTGGCAAACTGGAAGGAACTACGGGTTGTTGTGTGCCAAGGAGAAGGAGGGCCTCACTCGACTTTCGTGTAATTTGACTGTGATCTCGGTCAACGTCCTTGCTAAATTATGCCGCGAGTTTCTCCGGTGTCATCTTTTCAGGTTCTATACTGAACCGACTATGCGTTTCCGGAATGTATCTCTACCCCATCAGTAGGTAACATTGGTCTGGAATTCGTGATGAATTAGCGAGCCTAAGGCCAAGGAGGGAAAGGTAAGAAGGGGAACCTAGACATAGGTGGGCCACTGCTACCGGTAGTTCAAGGAGAAGATGTACCTCGACGACGGCAGGAAAGAAAATAAGATGAAGTTTGTTGGGGAAAAAAACTTATTAAAAAAAACTTTACAAAAAAAAAAATTTAAAAAAAAAAAAATTCGCATCACAGAATCATGCCCGAGCGAGGATTTTCTCAAGCGGCTAGGCCCAGCAACCAACTGAAATGGGCCGACATCGTCGTCCTGCTCATGATTACCCAAAACACCCAAGGCCTGCTGGCAGGAAATCCAGGGTAACATGTAGGGCATAATGCTCACACATGCTGACTGTCCGTCTTCCAGTCCGCCGTCAGCAAGTCCGTCAAAATTTCATAGTGTTTCGAAACCCAACCACATTTGGCGTCGTGAGCAAAAAAACCCCGTCGAAATGATACTTTCCCATCGCTACGTTCTCTGCCTTTGTCGACTCTCCAAAATCCCGAACCAATAGGCGGCATGGCGCTAACGTAGGTCAAACCAGACTAGACACTGGGCATAATTGGCCTCTCTGGAGGATCCCCGTCTTTCCCACATGCTTTTACTAATTACCCTACGGTTGGAAGGGAAAGAAAAATTTTAACTGCCGAATCCGCCATGACACTCAAATGTTGAGAAGCTGCAAGAAAGCTTCCAGTGTCTTGACTTCAAAGAGCTGCTTCACCGACAATATACGATTATGCATAGCGACGCAAGGCTAAAGTAACCGGTCAGGGTGTGGACCCTGGAACGTGATCCTCAGTCGAAGCTATGGGAAACCATTCAGATGTGCTTTCATTTCCGTCTCTTGACCATAAACACGTATCAGATCCTCGGCTACCGCCCTGTCCGGTATTATCGAACGAAATTTTCTCCGATGGCATCGACCCGACGGAAATGTAGCACGGCGATAAGTTTGTAACATCGAAGCTCGGGTCCGGGGTCTGAATTTACCTACCTAACACCTTACTACACGTCGAGATAATGTCTACCTAGTGAATTCACTGGTTCTCTACAACACCGCAACCGTACTTATCCAGCCGCGTATCACCCTCTGCGCATTTTTGCTGTAAGGTACTTGTTTGCTGGGCAGTTACGCACTCTATTCCTGCATCAGAAGGTGCAGAAAACCATATTTTGTTCTCTCCTCGTCTCAAAACCATCCATGTGCTGGAACGGAGACCGGTGGTCCATGAAAATCCGGGTTTCAAGAGGATTTGGGAGGAGGAGGAGAAGAAGTTTTCCATGGTGCATAGGGTCACAATAAGGACTCAACGGAGTCTCTTCCCGGCCCGTCAACCCTTTATCCTGCTCCCATTCGTTGCCCTGGAATTTTTTCAATTCGGGTATGGGTGCATCAATGTACAGCTCATTTGAACCTACCACGCCTCGTCACCGACCCTGCCGAACCTAGATGGGGTTAGGAGGATTTATATCTACGATGTGGAAGTCGGCTTATCCTTTTGCCGAAGACTCCCTTCTGATGTTTTTCCGAAGGATCGACAGGGCATACTGCTCCGGAAATCAGTCTGATGGTCCTGGCCTTCGTGCACATCGACCTTAGCCTAAGTTGTTAAAAGTGTAGGGACAATATGTGTTCGTGGTACTGTTCAATGCTGGTTTGTTTATTAGCGCGGTTCTTACGACAGAGGTATGTACGCAACATTGCTCGGGAAACAACGGGACAACCAGGTTCGAAGCTGATGATTGAATAAAGCATACAAAGCGTTCAAAACGTATCTGCTAGATATCAGCTTCGTATATTAAACCTGGCGGGATGGTGGTTGAGTTGCCTAGAGTGCATGTTGAAGTCTCGCGTTAAAGAACAAGCCAAAGAACAAACCAGAGGCGAACCGTCAAGGTACAATTGATGTTCTACTGACCTAATGCAACCCATCTACCATATATAACACGTAAGGGTGTACACCGTCATTTGAACCTCGACAACGCAATGGACGGGTATCGTCCATGTAGCAAGTAGCCTTACCGTATGTGTAAGTATATCAGACCTTGATTTTGAATGCAACATGTCACCCAATGAGCGTATAGCTAAATGCATGTGAACTACATATGATACTACTACCGCCAATACACAGGAACCACGAACGAACGAGACAACAAAGGAACCCGAAAATCATTGTGCGGTCGGTTAGCAGATCCACCTTCAACGGTTCCCGTTGTCTCAAAGACGCATGGCCGGAAACCATCTGACAGGAAGAACAAACCGCAAGCCTCATTATAGAAGTCGACGGTCAGGTAGGCCGTTGACAGACTCGCACCCGGCAGCAACGCTTTGCAATACTTTTTCATGGTGTACAACTAAATATACATCAGTTACAGTTACGGTACACTACCTTGATCATGTTTCCGGAGATCCAGCTTGTCTGAAATACAAATTGAAGCCTAGTTAACATCCAGCAAAAGAACCAGTTCACGTTGGGACCTCCTCCGGGAGATCTATTTGTTCTATCGACATAGCAATCCCTACCTTTAACTTTACTTCTCCATATTCTCCCTCCATCCATACAACCATCTGCTGAGCAGGTGACAGAAGTACGTAAATATACATGTAGCAACAAATCAGCCCAACAGAGTATCTCGATCGAACAGGTCCATACAAGAAGCTCAATGGGACTTTCCATTCAAATCCCCCTGTTCTCCCTGCGATCCCCCGCAACAGAACCATAGTCGTTAGCGGCTACTGGCACCTCTGGGAGGGAAACAGCCGCAGAAAGCAACCATACAACAAACCTTGCGAAGGAAGCATATATCCGCCCCATCATTACCATCATCACCGCCGACTTTCCGTTGTTGGCACAAATGCTCAACCCTCCCTCTAGACCACCGTCTAGTGTGAAGCAAATTCGGATGCATGGGTGTTCACAATGACTGGTCTCCCTTTTCATCCCGGTTTTCCATGTCCACGTTTGAGACTCACATGCTATGCAGATGTTTACACATGCTATCACAAGCATACCCAAGTAGTAGTTTCGGCCGAGTATACCATCTGGGAGATAACACCCATACCCCGTACATGACACTAGTAAGAATCCCGGGCATGTTTTCCATATTAGCAACCCCCACCTCCCCAGTATTCCTTTCCGAGTCAGGATCACGATTTGTATCACATCTCATCATACACCCGTCCGGACGACGGCAGCTGCCGCTTTGCTTCTTCCTTTACCCGGATGTCAGGGGTACGTTACAGCAACAAGAATCCTCTTGGCTTGGGCTCTTCTTCCCACTCTTCATGTTCCCCGTGCCAGCTTCCTTGGCTTATACCCATCTGTGTTTATATCAATATGGCCCTTGGCCTATCAAAGTAAACCACGGAGAAATCAGATCCTTGTCGATTACCCCATACCGCCCATTGTTCTCCTTGTCCAGCGTGGGGGTCTGCTCACATGTGAGCGTGTGGGTAGGCTGGTAGGTTACCCATCTCCTCTGCCTTGTGATGACCTTGGGAAACATACCTTAGGTTGCCGCTGTGCTTTTGAAATTATCCAAAACCATCCATATCTCTGAAGCGAACCAAGTATATGGATAATAGAGAGAATCTTGAATATAGCAATGTGTTGATTTAGGTCAATAGCCCGTCAGCTGTTCCTTTCCTCAGACTTCAACACGACTCACTCACCGAGTAGGTACCTTGAACTTTTCTGTTCCCGTGATGTAGCCTGCTTCCCTCGCTACCAACCTCCCGGGATGACCTCTCCCTGCCACTCGGGGATGTTGTAATTTTCCGACTTTCTTACTATGCTACCTGCAAGAGCCTCGTTCCTGATTGAGTGACCTGTAGCCGAGTCACATCTTGATCACTTGCTGCCACTTTTTGATGCCTTTTGAGGGAAAAAACAACAGATCTATCACGATATATTCCCCATAAACATGCATATGATACCAGTTTCTTGGTATCTCGCTTCCGCATCTCGCACAGAAATTATTTGTTGTTGCCGATATCGTTGCTGTTGCCGCTCTGCTGCCGCTATTCCTGCCGCTACCGCTATTGCTGCCGTTGTCAGTGGTTAGTTGCTTACTGGCGTGGCCAATCTGATGATGAGACTTACATATGAGAATTGAATGTAAATGTGATAAATGACTAGTAGGAGCCATACCTGTGCCAAAGTGGTGAATTTCATTGGACACCCCAACGTCGTGGGTGGTCGTTGTACAACGGGAAGGTACAATCGTGCGGATAGGTGGATGAAGGAGTGAAACAAAGATCAACAACGTCATTTCCTTTGCTGGACATATATTCTGTCTCTTTTCCTGCTGGAGCCCTGGCAGGCAGGCACGTCTACTGCATAGTGAAACGCAGGTTTGGCACGTTGGCAACGGAAAGGCTGGTCTGGCCAAGCGATTATTCAACTTCAGAATATCATTTGGGCAATGAAATATTTCGGATGGACAATTCACGCATCCGGCCCCGAATCTATTTATGCCGGATGGTGATGGCCAAGAAGTTTGATGGGAAATCCAGATCTAATAAAAACAACTGATCCGGACCAGAGAGCCCGAAAACGAAGAGCGGTCATCCAATCACCATTACATTATTGATTGTAAAATCATTGTGCCCTTCGATCGATCTCGTATTCCTTCAAGTTTCCCCGGTCTTATCTCACTTGTGACCGTTGCTTGTCTCGCTTATCAACCACTAGTGTAGTCTGGTCAATTGCCTGTTCGAGTGTCAATCTGTCAATCTCACCTAACCCTACACCTATACCCGTCCTGTGATGTTCGGTGATTCTGATACTAGTATGCAGATCACCCGCGCGTTCCTGCGGTAGTACCGACCAAACTTGTAGTGTATCTGACTATGACGACACAACACCGTGATTGATCAACGACTTTGTCATCGCCATAAAGAAAGGAGGGTAGGCCTTCTGCATGTCTGTTGATGAACAACGAAGCTGGAAGATTTTGGTGGCTTTCGGCTTCTCACGGGTTTTGGCTCTCGTATAGCTTCGAATCAGAGGGTGGGAAGAAGACAGGTAATACAGCAACATCAATATAGTCGGCCAATATGTGGTGAAAGCGGTACGGTACGGTTTCCAGGCCGCAGGGACTGCTCCAGTGTTCATTGTGTGTTGAGGGTAAAGCAATCCTCCTTCACTGCCAAATCATGAGAGAAACCTCAAGCGCAGCGCGAGCCCCCCGAATCCCGAAGAGACGGTCTGCGAATTCAACCTTCTCCGAATTTGCCCTTGTTGGCTTTTCTGGTGTGCCCAGTGTAGGTCAACCCTCTTTACGAAGCCCCTTCAAAACAAAAAAAGGGGCCCCTCCATAAAACGTCGTCTAGAAATCATCATGTAGTCGCCACATATGCGAAGGTAAACTTGACTTAGAAGTGTTGTCCATCGACTCTGAAATGTAGACTAGCTGTAGAAACTTAAATGAAATCCCTGATCTTCCTGATATCCGAAAGACTCTCAGGTGCTCGTATTAGTTCCAAAATCTTACCAGACGATCGTATAACATATAAGTATATATATCCAATCAAAGCGATGAGCCTAAGAAGGTGTTTTCCCAGATGAAGAAGAGTTGAATTGCATTTGAACCCATAACATCGCGAGTTCTTCGTGCACAGCGGGAATGATTCAAGCCGTATAACCCTTCCATTCTACACTCTTCCATGTCCATGGCCATAGAACGCCAGTTCCATCGCCTCCAATAAAGCACATGCTACCTAAACACTTGTTTCTGAGCACCGCCCCTCGCACTTTACACCGAGGGACAACATACCTCAAGTTACCTTCCATTTTTCCACCCCACGCTCGGATCATGCCCCTTAGCTGCCCAGGAGAAGCAAGGAACGGTGAGTATTCAAGGTGAACCCTTCGCAACAAACCTTTGCCGTAAACCAGCATATCTTGTAGAACAATCCGACTGTTATTTCCTCGAGTAGCTTAGCCATGATGACGGTTGGCACAAGGGTTCTGAAAGCCCTGAAACCAGCGACGTCCACTAGGTCCGCCTGGTCTGGGCCCATTCTGGTTGCCAAATTGCCCCTGCTGCTGAGTGCCATTGTTGAAGCCTTGAGCACCTCGAGCACCTTGAACACAATGCCTGGTTCCTCATGTTGTTGTGGTTGTTGCTCTTGTTGTTATTGACACCCGGCAGCCCAAAGTTTTAGTTCTAGTCTTCGTTCTGCCACCAAAGAGGCCACCATTGTTGTGACCCTAAGCGATTTCCTGGATGCCGCCGCCAGCAGCACCGTAGCCGCCTCTCAAGGCCGAAACCACTTGGTCCAAAGCCACCGGACCCAAAGCCTTGTTGCCCCTGATTGCCAAGTTACTGATTACCCTGGTGTTGACCACCAAATGCACCTTGCTGACCGGCACCAGCACCACCAGCACCCTGAGTACCTCTACCACCTTGACCGTCTTGACAACTAGTGGCACCCTAACCAGCATTAGCACCCTGACCACCGGCGCCATGCTGATTGGAATGCTACTTGTCGTTCAGCCCTTGAGTCTTGACGCCTTGTTACTTGTCATTGCCATTGCCGCGCATCTGGTTCTGACTGTTACCCTGGCTTTGGTTGTTCCCTCCTGACACAGAATGATGGGCATGTTGTTTTCTTTGAGCGCTTCGTGGCCATGGTGGTGGAAATGTGTGTGTCTTTATGGGGTACGCCCATGAAGCGCAGAAGGAACACCGCGTACTATCAAGGTATGATACTCAGGAAGAGGGGGATAACGAAATCCATGATGGTGAGGGCGAAGAGCACGGAGGAAGGCCGGATGAGCCATGTATATGCCCATACTGAGGGCATACGATGGCACGTCGAGCAGCATTGGGCGAGCAGTGGTAGGACATAACGATAGTATGATATTCCAACGGAGTGTGCGTGATAGCAGAGTACGCAGCTATTCATGCGAAATGTACGGCACTGGCGGTCGACATTGCTTGCTAGAAAAAGTGAGCACCATATCTGGGCAAGAAGCTGGAACAGACTTGGTTGAAATGATGATAGCATTGTCTGGCACGATATCAAAAACAATAACGCCTTTAGAAGGGTGGAGCGATGAAGTCCCAGCAACAACATTGACAATCATCGAATTGATGTGCTACCGGTCTGCGCAGCAAGTCTAGGCGGATTCACAGAGACTCGAGCCTCCGTCACCGAGCTGGGGGGGGAAGCTGGGCAAGGAGAGGTCACCAAAAAAAAAAAAAAAAAGGGCAAGCTGCAGCTCGCCTCATCTAGACTCCGGACGGCAGATGCTCGAAAGTGCTTTTAATGAAAACGCACGCATGTTTGGCAGTGGTAATATGGTAGGTACCTCTACGCAGTACAAATATACCAAGTACAGTCGGCGTAGGTGGTAAGTGCCGGAAGACAGATGGGACGACAAAGTTGAAGTTCCATGAAGGTCGATCGAAGCCAGAAGCCCTGTTGCAGCCAAAGGTTCCTCTGCAGGTGGGAGCATGCACAGACCAGGCATATGTGAATAGTGACAGCCTTGGTCGGGCAGCCTAAAAAGTGGCTTGTTGATTACCTACTGGTACAGACTTACCTACCTTAGGGAGTGGTACCCTATCCGTTTGCGAACGCTGCTGCTGCACATGGCTTAAACGGACAAGCTGTAGGTACCCAGGTACATGTCCAGTAAGTACCGTAGGTAGCCTCAGAACCCTGGCTGCACCCAGCCATCCCTCACAGCCTATAGGTAAGGTTCCTGTAGGTCATCTTGATAATCCGCCGCGTTTTCCAACTTCGCTTTCTAGGTATCTCCAATTCCTCTTGCAGCCCTTCTTCAATCTGCACCATCTTTTACCATTCTGCCATACTTTGGCTGCTAACCGTTCCGTTGCTTGATTTGAGATTTGCAACCACCACCGTTACCCGATTCAACCGACTCACGGCCGTGCCCTTCCGTCAACTCTCTCTGGCGCAGTCCGTCCTTCGACGCACTGCCTTCTAGCCTCGCGCCTCGCTCCTGAACCTACAAAACGTTAGCTATCTACCCACGCCTCACTTCGCCTCTTTTGCTGTCATGGCAAGCAAGAATTCGGCGGCGACCGTCAAGGTTTCTGGCTCGGCTGCCAATTACACGCCTGCCACCTTGGATCCCGAGTTGCGATCGGCCATTAATTCGGTCTTGATCGAAGAGGGCCATGTCGGCAAGTACGTACTCTGTCCCCATGTTCCTTGAGAGATGAGCCCTGTTGACCCGGTCACCGTGTTATTTCTTCCTCGGAAACAGGATCCAAGACCATCTTCTACACTCGCTGCATGCCCACTCGTCCAACTGGCCCACGACGGTCCAGAATCACGCCCTGGCTCTCCTCCGCTCCGGCGAAATCAGCACCTTCCCCGCCCTTCTACGACGAGTCTTGGAAGATGTGCGCCACGAGACAGCCAATGCTCCCTCCGGCGACGCCAACGGAGGCGATGTGAACGGAAAGAAGCTATCCAACGGCGCCGACACTACCAACGCCTCCAACGGCAACGTGCCCGCGGCGACAACGACAGCACCGAGCCTAGCGGTTCCGCAGGCCGTTATCAATGACGCGCTCAAAGTCACGCGCGAAAGCCTGGAGATGGTGTGTGAGATTGAGGCGAACGGGGCAACGTGACATGTTTGATCCCCCCCAACAAGAAATCTTGAACCAGGCCACACACACAAAGCACCCATCCAGTTTTGATTATCTTTTTATCACACACAAATCCTCAGATTTCATGTCACCTGCGGCGATGTACAAGAGAAAAGGGCCAGTACCGTTGCTGACCTCGGCTTTGGTATTTCGTTATAGGGGTCTGGCGCCGGCGCCAAAAGTAAGCAGCCAGTAGGGCTGAGAAATGATGGAAGCAATAAGCGGAGAAAGCTGTCGTCAAGAGACGATCGAGTCTACTGTCAAGTTGACAGTTTTCCCAGTCATGTGGAGGATGGACACAGTCAAGGTCTTAACGGCGGGGAGGAGAAGGAGGAGCAAAGAGATGGTCGCAACCAAGACGTTGCCTCAGGTTCGACAATAGCAACTGCGGCCGCAGAAGATGATCCGTCAATATCCGATGACGACCAACGAGAAATTGTCAGAAGGCATCACCCAAGGGTAACCAACGCCCTGCCGGATGCTCTTCGGAGAGCCGGCTTGTTGACCCAGAGGTTTCATGATAGTCGGCCTCAGGACCAGGTGCAACACGAAAGCCAACTCCAACATCCACAACAAATTCAACAACATCAAACCACACGTCATCCTCTGCCTGGATCTCCCGCCCGAACATATCTTCAATCACAGCCACACTTTGAGCCCCAGCATGGCGCATCACATGTCGGAGTGGGCAATGCGCAGGAAGCACCTCAAAGTCAAGACACCGTAGGGACAGCTGCCCAAGCAGACTCCTCAGAGCAACCGAGCTAGATGGGCATGGATAACTACTTGGGCCACAGAGCAATCATTCAGTATGGTCAATATGGCATGTACATAGCTGGAAATTGTTTTGACCAGTTGCACCGAGGAAGAAGCCGGTGAATTTGTAGCCTTGGTACACATATATGCCAAAAACATGTATGAATCTGAACAAATTGTTGGGATAAAGATACATCTTGAAGGGTAAGGGGAAACTACTGGTGTAACGCCGCGTCAAACCCCTGTTGTTCTCATTCACCGGACTCTCATTCTGTCTTTTTATATGACCAAACTCCCCGGCTTAATAACTGAGAACGCCTCCGTAAAACTTAATCCATTGAGGGACACAGTAGCCAGTCCAACCCACAGGAAAACCCGGCCAAGACACTGAACACAAACCTCCTCATACAAGGACTTTTAAAACCCATCAACCGGCGAAGATGTGATAATCTGATACTAAGCCTTACCGTTCTTCTTCACTTTAACACTGCCAGTCCCTTGCCCTGGTCCACCATACTGCTCCTCCAACACCTCCACCGCCCTCTTCAAATCCGGCACCTCACTCGCATCCGCCGGCACGCCCACCCACCTCACAAACCCCATCCTATCGACTGCAAACGCTCCTCCCATCTGCCAGACCGATCCAGAACTATACGTGCCTCCCGTCCTCTCATGCACAGTCATCTCTTTCCCCTCACCATGTCCATCCGCACTTGAATTGGACCCAACACTGGCCGCCCTCGGTTTCTCTTTCCGTCCCCAAATCCCTTCAGCAACCCCAAGCTTATACGTGTTCCATAGTGCCCACGGCTTGTAAGCGTACCAGGTGGAGGTGGTGCCGAGGCCCCACTTGGCGTACAGCGCGCGGGACTCGTCGACGATCACGTCGGCTTCCCACTCGCCGCCGACGTCGATCACCCAGGCGTCGGTGTCGGAAGGGGAGGAGTGCGAGACGGCGAGGAAGTGCAGGTTGGGGTGCGACACGGAGAGGGCGGTGAGCAGGCGGAAGGCTTTTTCTGCGACTGGAGTTTTTTTTTGATTTGGTGGTGTAAGTGATGAAACCGAAGACGAAGAAGAAGGAGAAGAAAAAAAAACGAAAAAAAGGAGAGAGAGAGGGGGAGGCGAGATGATGAGAACTGAAGGACGAAGGGGAGGAGAGGAGAGATAACTTACAAGGACATCCACAATGCCTCAAGAACAAAACCACGGTCGGCTTGGCGCTGGGGAATCGGATCTGCTCCGACTGAGGCGCCCTGCCACCCACCAGGGGAACGGGGGATACCTCGTGCGGCTGCTTTTCTGGGTCGTGCTGCCGGTTGGGTTGGCTTTGAGCTTGGGGAGGGTTGATGTTGATGGGTGGGAAAGTGGTAGTGTCGTATGAAGCCGATGACGGGGTGTAGAGCTGTGGTGAGCCGTCTTCACCGGCGTAGACGGGCATTTTGATCCTTGAAGCTTGGGAAGTTGAATGATGATAGGCTGAATGTTTATGCAACACTTTGGTGTAGAGCTGGAAAAAAAAGAAAAGGTTGTGTAGGTGTGATGAGTCGAGAGATTATGTCGGTCAGTAGAGAGGTATGTATACCCTATATGGGTGGCGTGGTATCGATTGGAACCTTTTTTTCGGTGAGGGTCGGTTTGTATAAGTGCCCCTGCACTGGTGGGTGAGGAAGTTATGATAGGCGCTGGGTGCTGTAGCTAGGAAATAACGGAACAGGTTACGGTAACATGACGGACTGAGGGTTGAAGCTCTTAAATAAAGTTCAATTGAGGTCATTGCTGTGCAATGATAATACGTCGAAAACCGTTGGCCCGCGCTTCCCGAGCTCACAGCTACCTATGCTCGACCGCCCATTGTGGTGGTGTATACCGTCTTACCCCTCAAGATTCTTTGGAGATTCTAGGCGAGTCTGCGGGTTGACCAACACCGCGTAGCCAGGCTCGTCCCTGACAAAAAAAGTGGCACTTTTATGGTCAGTACATGGGCGATGAGCACAACAAAAGGTGCCACCTTTTTTGTCAAGGACGAGCCAGGGTACGTGTTCCGGGGTTGTATGGTAGTGCCTACAGAATAAAGTACCGGCCTTGGGGAATTGTCATGCAAGTTCAATCGACTTTCACGTAGCTTTGATAAAATGAGTATGTGAGTCTTGGGTTTACCTCTAGCTTGGGCCCTTTGGACATGTACGAATATTGATTACAGTACAAACCAAAGGCCGTAGAACAGCGAGGTCATATTGCAAGTCCCAATATTCTGAACACCGTAAGCCCCCTGATTCCTTGTTGCCAGGACGGTCAACAGAAGTCTGCAATCGTCTTATTTAACATTCTCTTGAGAAATCTACAGATTGATAGTTGATTGGAGTTATTCCGCGTCAAAACCTCTCCGATACCCCATACCGTCCATCGATGCATGTGCTTCTCTTCTGTTCTAGTCCCCTTCTCTGTCCCCAGCACTTCCACCTTCCCAATGTTTACAAGTGAAGGCTCCTCTTCCCAAGAGCCCAAAACCAAAATGCGCTTGAAATGCATTCATCCCCATATTCCCCCAACCCATTCCATTTTGTACCCCCACGGGAATCGCCCCACCTCTTTATAGCTGTCCTTTCCGGCGGCCTAGGTAACATCTACCTCTAATCAACATTCAACTAACAGCCAGATACTCTGTCTGAACATCCCACTCCCCCTCCAACCCTCTCAGCTTTCTAAGTAAAACCACCTTATTGCTCCTCCTCCTCCTCGAGCCTGTCCCTTCTTCTTTTCCGTCGTCACAGTCCGACATCAGTGCTGCTGTGTGCACCCGGAAGTGTTCCGGGACATCGTAAGGGGCGTCGGAACTGCGCATCCGTTGGGCTTGCGCTGGCACTGCTGGTGGTGAATGGCTGGGACCGAAGGATATACCGGATGATTGTTTCCGTGAACATGATTGTGATTGTGGTTGTGGTGGAGAATATGAGTGATGGGCGGTTGCTGTGGGGATACTGTTCCAGTTCAGTTGATGTTGGTGTTGGTGTTGGTGTTGGTTTTGAACCAGCGGGGCGGTCCACGCGGGGGATGTTGTTAATGTTGCTGTGGTTGTTCTTACAGCAGTCACTGCTGCCACTTCGGCTGATAATGTCATCGGGACCGTTACAGGCGTGTTGTTCATGTCCACGCCCATGTATATCGTGTCGCTTAACTCAGCAGTGGCTTCCATATCGTACGATGACGCAGCCGAGTAGGAACAATCGCTGTGTGAGTGCACCGAGTGCTGATCTTCGGCAAGCAGAAGAGATGGGTCGACGGGCAGATCATGCTGGCTCATGCTGAGCTTCGACTGGGCGGAAGCGATCGTTCCTTCGCCTACCAGTCCAGATCCTGACCCCAAAGAAGAAACCATGGTTGCGGTACCATCGGCGTCGCTATAACCAAATGGTGTGTCTTGTAGCTCGCTGGACCACATCTCACCTGGGGCAAGAGGGTACAAGAAGGGCGTGCTCGTTGCGTCAGGTGGAGATGCTGAGTGCGATGGGGTATATTCAGAGTACAGATGCCTCTCCTCGAGCTTGATGGTGTATTCAGCTATCGAAGCCATGATGTCGGCGCGCCAGACATTTTCGCGGCGGGCGGGGTTGCGACGAAGAAGGTCGAGGGCAGCGCGGCGGACTTCGGGATGGCGGCATTTGATGGCGACGAAGAACAAGGGGGCTATGACGTGAGTTTCGAAACTGAACATGGCCGAGAAGCGTCGTGCGTCTCTTAGTGATGCTGCTGTGCCTGTTACTGTCCCGGCTTTGCTTGTCTGACTTCCGCGCGTTGTGGGGTTGGAGAGTGTTTCCATGAAAGCGGCTGCGCGGGGAATGATGGCGGAAAAGAAGGAGATGTGGTCATCAAAGGCGGTTTCCTTGGTGCTTAACGCTGTTGATATCCAAATGTGAATGGTCTTAGTATGTATTTCGATCAAGTCAACACACCCGGATGGGAGAAGCTTTTGGTTCCTTGACAGGAAGAGCGCGAATGCGACGTTAAACCTAGACAGCTTCTTCATCATAAGATCCTGCTCCCCTTCCAGTGCCCGCAGTTCTTCTGGTGATACTTGTTGATACTTCGCCGGCTTTGACCTTTTTGTGAACCTGAGGCACTCTTCCATAAAGTCGTGTAGCGCGTACCGAACTTGGTCAATTGTTTCAAAGGTCATTGGAACGTCGGTCAACGTCTTCAACGGTACTGGTATAGCAGTAGGATCTCCACCGATCATCAACATCGTTAGACTGATTCGAGTGTACATGGGAACAATGTGATTCCGTATGATCTCAAATTCGGGGTTCGCCCGCAGCGACGGCTTTCGTTCGAGCTGACTTAACAGCTGGTGCCCTTGTTGTAGGTGGATAAGTGATTCGACATCCTTAACTTGCATAAACTCGAGAAAGACGAAGAGGATACAGGTGAGAAGCGGTACAAGGGGCCTTGAGTCGACGTCTGGCATCCGGTCCAAAAGACAAGAAATGGCTTTGTTGTATTGGAATAGCGCAAAAGACTGCTTGTCGGCAATGTCGACGTAGGGCGCCACGGCACCGCGTACCATTGCTTCGTGCAGGCTGCTAACAGCCAACACGGCGTGCTTCACTGCTGGTTCGGATTCACAGATCTGAAGCACAAGCACACGCCAAAAAGTACCGTCAAAGTCACCGGAAAGGCAAGGTGCCGTGACATCCTGGAAGAAGTGAAAAGAACGTCTCTCGTCATCGGATGCCCACTGGTAAAAGACAGATAGCGAGCCGCGAGGGTTGTGGGCATCGGTCTGGGACACGCCGCCGGATCTTCGGGGTCTCCTGCTAATCAAGGTTTTTGCGTCAAGGTATCCATCGCATCTTCGACCAGTCTTTGTGCAACGGACACAAAACGGTTTTGCCTCATCGCACTTGACTTTGCGGATTCTATATGCGAGTGTCAGGTACAATTTGAAGTTGATCGAGGGCGTCAAGGAGATATCCGGGTGTTAATGTACTCATAAACCCTTGTCTTTTGTGAGACCAGGCGGCTGGGATGGCGAACTTGGACTTACTTGCAGGTTAGACAGCCGGTTCTTACTTTCTTCGACCCTTTCCTTCCTGACTGAGCAGGCCGAGCTGTAGAAGATGTTCCCGAGGGGTCTGAACGGGGATCCATGATCGCCATGGCCTCCCTGGTACCCTTAGCTCGGTGATGACTCGTCCCTATTTGCTGTTGCATCTTGTCTGTGGAAAGTTGGTAGTAAGTCTAGTTCGGACTCAGAGATCGTTCATAAAATCCGAGCGGTACTGGCTCGGATTAGCGAACTGGACTAAGAGGAGAGAAGCAGGCAGAATAAAGTCTGCCTTCACTATGGACTTTGGAAAGAGAGCGAGGCGAGATGTAAGGTGTGGGACATGGATGGGTGAGATTTTAAGTTGACCGAGAGTAAGCTCCGTGGATCAAGGGTAGAGGGCCGAATTGGTTGTACCATCACATATAAAGGAACAAAAAAAGTATCTGAGGCGGTTGTAGCTGGCTAGGCGAGAAAGGATACAATAAGGCCTGGGCTTGGGGCAGTACCCATCAGAACTTTAACCTATACACCCCGCCTAAGATGCGACCCCAACCATAGCCATGAGGGAGGTTTAAAATGGGAATGGATGGGAGAGGGTATAGTGCTGCCGGTAGCGTAGGTGCACGCCGCCTCACTGTCGACCGAACCGGGCATGTACCTTTTTGGCCCGTCCCTTGGTGGGATGGTATGATTATGTGCTGGTCCCCTTGTCACCACAAGGCGCCAATCGCATCAGCGAAGGGTAGCAGTAGTATTGAGACAGGACCAAGTACATGGCTTGCTAAGCACATATGTTCTTCAAAGGTGTGGAGGAAGAGAAACCGCAGTGAAAGTGGAAGGACCTCCTTGTTCTGCCATTGTTTTAGGCATGCTCAACTCAAATCAAAGCCTTTCTCGTCTGTGCCCGTCTTGTCATACCACGAAACAGGGACCATACGACCCACACGGCTGTGTATACTAGCTTTCAGACTTGTGACGACAGGTTCGGGCAGACGAAAAGGGAGTAGACGCGGTATAATAACCAATGGCCGTCTGGATGGATGCAGGACGATGTGGTCCCATCAGGACTGGAAAGCCACCTGGATGTGGATTCTTACGCCTCCTTGACCTACATGGACAAGTTGTGCTTGACAAAGAAGATAGGCAGAAGGATTTGCTGACAATCCAGAAGCCGCCAAGCCGGGGCAAAGAAACCTTCAGGAAAGCTGCCCGATGTCATGTTACACCGGAAAACAGCATCGCGGACGGCCCGCGATCATTTGAATCCCGTTGACGTGGAGCATGGTCCTGGTCCTCCATGCTCCCCAGCTTTCGCAGCTTCCTCGGCTTGCCGCATAGCCAGCCGCCACTAAGCTCACCTCAACGTTGCTCTAAACCCATCACTGCCACTGCGTCGTATGTAATTGAACAAAAGAGGGACGGCAGTGAAGATGATTGATGCTGGGAAATTGTTGGCCATCGAAATCAGGCACCCGTTTAACGTCCCGTAGACTGGAAACAGTCGCCGTTGATGTGAGGCATGACGAGGACACAATGGGGCAGTGAGCGGGAAACGGTGCCAGTTTCCACACTCGGCGTTAGGGAGAGAGGCTCGATCCCTGAAGTCATTAATAATACAGAATCAGGGTGACTGCACCATTCGTTCGTTCGTCGCTTTTATCGGGTCTGATGCTTGTTGTTCACTTGTTGTTGTTGATGTTACATCTGCTTGTCACTCTCACAGCCCTGTTGAGGGGTTGACCATCAATCAACCCATGAGATCAAAGCAAGGGTTGCTGACTGCCGGGGGCTCGGGCCATATATGGGTGTTAAGCGCTTACGCTGCGATCTCTAACAACAGAGTTAGCACCTATGCTGTTTGTCTCTAGGCTTCACTAACACTCATCGATAACAGCTAAGCGCACCACACAAGGGCTGTCTCCATCTCTAGGGCTATGTGGGGAAACCGCAACTCACTCACCTCCCTCAACACAACTTCCCAGTGCCACTTTCAGTTCCTGAACGTGGACATCAGCGGTCTTCAAATTCAAGGTGATAACTGAAAGTAGGTTATTTCTATGTTTCGTTAGCAGGGTTCATAGCACCGAAATATTAGCGAAGCAAGGTGGTTCTACCATCTTTAGCGTAAGAGTCATTCCTGTTTTCCGGTCCGCGCATCCACGATAGCATCTCTCCCATATTGATACATCACACTATTGGTTGACCCTCCACCTCTTCCTTATTGAATCTGCGCATGATCTTTTGAAAGGTGAGATTCTTAGCTTTGTTACTATTCTTCTCATGCATTAATCCACGTACACAGGCCATAAGTACCCCGTTGGCTCGGCCACATCAAGCGCCAGTCAACATCTACCAACCTTCAACACAAGCTGCCGTGAACGTTGAGTATCAAGCTGCTAACGACTACAAACAGAGCAACCAGGATGACAGTTCAATGTTCACCTTGAAAGATTTCACGGTTAACAAATCCTCGCAAACCGACGTGAGAGAAACTATACCACCAGGCATGACAGAGTTGTGATGACCCGGCTGTTATCCAATTTGTCTCATGGTCATTGGTCCAGTATCTGTCCCGCCCGACTTCCAGCACCGTCGTACTTCAAACTTGTCGACAGACGAGACCATGGCCCATGCAACCTTGAATGCACGGTTCTGCTTAAACTACGCGGCAGGCTACGTAACGCGCCCTTTGTCCAACGTGGGGCAGGCACTGGGTTATATGGCTTTACACCTGATTAAAGTACGCTTATCAGTTACATACGTGAGCTTCTTAGAAGCGAGCCGTCTCACTGGGCAGCAATATCACAACTCGCCTTCTTTCTCTTAAGTTTTGCATTGATTCTGCGTCTGAACCCGGCTGAGTGGTCACAGTGACGGCAGCAGTGTTACGTCAAAGCCCCCCTCCGGTGAATCGGCACTGTTAGCCACACCGCCCCGCCGTATTCCGTGTTCCGTCTTCCGAGCCACTCCGTCTACGAGTTCCATCCTCGTCCACCAGTGTCTTCATTGTCTCCATTCAGCAACCGCAGCAGTTTAAGGTTCCTCTATATGGAATATGAAGTGAAGATATCTCTCAGTTTGGTCTAGAGACACCACATTGTCTAGTTACTGACAGTCTAACCCAAAGGCCATGCCATCAAGCACCATTTCCTACAAAAGTTGGGTAACGCTGAATGATCTGGAAAATATTCTCAAAGACGAGACACAAGCGGCCATCTAATTCTCTAATTTTACCTTGAAACATACAAGGCTTGCCTCGAAGCAAGATATTTGTCGAATTTCATCAAGAAAGAAATTGAACGACTCACTAGGCCCGACAGGGCCTCAGCTTTACGCATATTTCAAGTCCGATTTGGGGGCATAACTCTGTTTTGACGGTGTGTAGATGCCCCGTGAAGTGTTTTGAGGCTGAAAGCGATTGCCTTGTGCCAACGCAACTCTCTCTCCCTCCTTTGACGGTCCATCATCGCTATGCGGGACGGCAGCTTCGAACCACTAGCAAGCTCCAGCAAAGCAAAATCAGATGGGAACAGCCTTTCTGTATGGCAACATGAATGTGAACTACACCCCCCATGACAACACGAACAATACTGGTACAGTTACGTGCCGCGACCATCATTTCCCCCAAGCTCTTCATTCTGAGCAGGTTCAGCTTTCACACGACATTCGTCTCGCCCTGCCCCACACCGCCAAACCTGGTCAGGAGCGATACTATTCTGCTGATGGAATGGCGGGCTCTTTGGCTAATTGGCAGAATTGATAGCGTAGCTTTGTATTTACTGTATAGTATGTTTGCGGCACCACGCGGGAGCAGAAAGACTGGTCCTGTCCCAGTCCCACTTGTGTTGAAGTGCGAGCACCTCGGACTTTTCTTCTCTCCACTCACCCACCGTGCAACCACTCACGTTTTCCCCATCTATATACAACCCTTTCACCATTTTCCACAACCTGCTAGGCTCCTGGATACACATACGCGCGTCTGATATCCATAAAGGCAGCAAGACTATTTCAGACCGACCAGAATAGACGCCGTAGGGCTGCCGTTGCCGAACTGGGTGAACATCGTACATGCTAAAAACGCCCACATACTACTTACTTGATGATGTGATAGGGCAAAGCACATCAATACACCCAGTCATCCCCACGAAAACGTGCTGTTTTGCATAAACCTCTTGAATTTAAGCGCGCGTCTAGGGGAGAGATGGTGTGACAACGGGAAATGACGAGAAACTTTGAAGTGATGCCGGACGCGGTCCTTAAAAAAGCTTCCATCTCTCAAAGAAATTCAAGGTAGAATGAGACTATCAGCAGTTGGTACTTTCCATTTGAATACCACTCTTGATGGCTCAAGGCAGCAAGGTAAAATCGGTAGTGTCCCTGTCCTTTCTTTACCCGTAGAAAACATTAAGACGTCTACATAACAATCAGAGAGAGAAAGAGGCAGGACACTTGTGTGGCGTTAACTCAGCTGAATGTCTGACAACCTGCCTAGAACTGTTCTTACTGACATGTACATGAAGAGCAGACTACCTCTAAGGTCGTCTCTGGATATATTAGGCAGAGCATTCGGAGAAGACAGAGCCGTGCCACAGGCATCCGCTCATGCATCATACGTACCGTCCCTTTCCCCGTCTCCAATACTTGAGTAAATCTAATCAACAAACATTTTAAACTTCAACAGCGAGCTCGAATAACTGTTCATCACCACTTCACCACTACACCCTTTCATTCTACTCACACTATACCTTACCCTACCTCTACTGTGCCTAGCTTCTACTCTACCCCTGGAGCAAGGCATAGCGTACATTACTAGCCCAAGTATAGTCACACGTGCGAACATTCGACGTCCATGCTGGGACGGAAGGCGTAATCCCATCTTGCCACTCGTACGATTCAGTCCTCGTCTCCCTAGTGCCCCATCCAAGCGAGCCAGATTGGCATCAGATCCCCATACGCCACAGACCGGACGTAGTTACATCCGTTCAGTCAGTAGAAATCATTCAGCCCCTCTGCCTTCATAAAATTGTGATATCAGACAAGAAAGGCGCTTATGGGGCCATTGAAGTCCATCGAATGGCTACAAAACAGTAACAGGCAGCAGAATTTGGCTTCATGTTTGCTTGAAAGCGGGAGAGGCTTGGTACCTAACTTGGTTTCGAAGGGCGGAGATAAGGGGATGGGAATTCAAATGTACCAGAACCTACTAAAATTGAAAAATGATGCAGTGACGAGGTGAACGAGGCTCGAGGCATGAGAGACCAAGGCAGGGCAAGCAGATGTATGGAACAAGGGTTCTGTAGACAATGGAGACATCAAACGTTCGGTTAATTCCACGCCCCTATTACCGGTGAACTCAACATGTTTGGCTGTTTGTCCTGGACGTGACAGCGAGGGAATGGGCTTCACATACATATCCATCAACAAATCCAGAGAGCATTGCGCCTCCTTACCTAAGCTTGCAGTAGATGCGTCTCTAAAGCCTTCGCTATCCAGCTAAAATGAGTTGGTGTTCTATGTTGTCACGTCCTCTATATCGACGCTGCCTCGGTGATACTCTAAGCTCAGAACCATTGACAGAGGTACACAGGGGTGATCTTGTCCTGAGCTTGACCAAGTCCTATCCTCAGCAAAAGTATTAGAACTCGATCAGGCTCCCGGGTACCTCGTGGCTGGGGTGAGTAGGGGCACGTTGGATTGGAAGGCAGAAAGTCGGGTCTAGTTGACTGAATATAGGTAGTCCTCATGTCTAACGAGCTGTGCCTGGAAAACTGCCAAGCCTTGCTCACACTGACACCACGAGGGTGAATGTCGTTGAAGTCGAGGCTGGGCTGATTGTTATTCTGTTGCCTGAAAGCAAATGCCACACCCTCCAAGCTCCAGCCCCATTCTGGCTCAATGCATGTTGTACAGTAGGTAGTTACGGTATATCGGATCCGGATCATGGAGGGATTGGACTACGGGACCTCGAGGTCCCTTTGGACTCTGAATGGCCAGGTGGGCGGCGCGCGGCAGCGTCTTTCGGGGTCACCATGTACAGCGGGGTAGCTAACACCCATGGTACTACACTATTGTATGTAGTACGTTACAAGGGTACCGAGCTCCCTGGCTTCTAGCCCGGCCTTCTTCCAGCCGGGCGCCGAGCAGCCCGGGGAGAGACTCCGGGACGTACTGGGTATCGGCTTGCCAGGGCGGAGCCGTACGGCCGGCGCGCGCCTCGTATAAGCACGGGCCGGGACGTGTCCTACAACCCCCGGCCCTGAGGACCCGGTTCTCGGTCGGGTCGAGGGTCGTCGTTTGATCAAATGTCACTCGCTTGCTCCACTCAAAGTGGCATGCGGGTTCCTGCGACGTGCGGACAAACGGACTCTCTCGAATCTCGATAAGACGACAGCTGCAGCCTGCCAACTTTCCGCGTGTTGTCCTGTCCCATTTCGTTCTCTGTGATACCTACCTAGCAGCATCGTTGGCCTGTGGCATCTGTACAGGCCTGGGCATCCGGTGGTGCATGCGACAACCACTGACCGCCTTGTTGTCCGTACTGCGGGGGAGGGGCAAATACCTAGGCATGTCTTCCCTTCCTTGGGGAGACCTGACAGCCTGGCCATCTGGACATCGGTGCTCGAGCGGTGCTGCAGCATCCGAACCTCGCTTCACTGTAAATCTCGAACTGAAGAAATGGAACGAACCCCAAGTCAAACAAGATGAAGCTTTGATCTGTCAGCAGGTTTGTAGAACGCATTCGAAGGTTCCGGCCGCACCGTTGCTTTACCAGGTGTGTCGACCTGAAGATCCTCGGAGCGATGGCAGAAGGCGTGCCTGGAGCCCGGAACAGCCAGGGCAAGCAGACAGAGTGGCAGAATGGAAGTGTACATATGGGCGAGAAGCACGGACCTTTGTCGCCCCAGAAAAGGCTCCGCTCATACTTCGTCATCCAAATGGTCGCCTGGCGGGGCGGTTTGTCAGTCAGTGACACTGACAGTTGAATCAGATGCTGTTGCTGTTGCCGCTCCCAGCTGCTGGCCACCAGCTGCTTGCCCCTGGTTGGCTGGCCTTGGAGGGAGCAAGCGGTCGGTGCCACTCGCCGGTGCAGCGGTGCTTGCTTGCTTTGGCTCGAACCGTCCTTTCCATGCCCGGCCGTGACAACCTGAACGTAAACGAAACCAACTCCAACACCAAAACGCAAAGGCACTTCGTCCCTCCGACTGGTCCTTTTTTTGTGTTTCCATCCCAACACCATTCACCTTCACCTCGCCGTCCAACCTCCAAAGAATCCCTTTATCAGCGGGTCTTGAGGCTACGAATTCTGGTTTTTTTTTTCTCCAAAACCACTTCTTCCCGCTACATCCTCTCCGTGGATTAGCATCACCGTCCGCGATACCCAAATACCACATTTATTCTACTGATTCTCAACGCAAACGTCAAGATGGCTCCCGAACCTAATCCCGACCACGTCGAGCAGAAGAAGAAGGTCAACTTGATGTACGTGAAGCAGCGACCCTGATCGCGGGAGCTCTCGAAGCTGTCGCGCCCCCTCATCGCGAATGACGCCAAGCTGACTTGAAGCCAAACAGGGACGCTTCTGGTGCCGAGCACAAGGCCGTATGTTCAACCTCGCTTGTCCGCCAAAGATATCTCGAGAACCGCTCGTGCTGACTGATAGAACAGGAAGATGATACCGCCACTGCTATTCTCAAGAAGAAGAAGAAGCCCAACCAGTTGATGTAGGTTGACGTTGAAGATGCGGGGCACTGCAACCTGAGCTGACACATATGCAGGGTTACTGACGCCGTCAACGATGATAACTCGATTATCGCCCTCTCCAACAACACCATGGAGCAGCTCCAGCTCTTCCGTGGTGATACCGTTCTCGTCCGTGGAAAGAAGAGAAAGGACACCGTCTTGATTGTCCTTGCCGATGACGATCTTGATGATGGCAGCGCACGCCTCAACCGTGTCGTTCGCCACAACCTCCGTGTCAAGCACGGCGACATCATCACCATTCACCCTTGCCCCGATATCAAATATGTTAGTCTATAACCTGGCGGCCTAGGCATGGGATGGACACCTTACTGACACATGTATTTTCCTTGTAGGCCAAGCGTATTGCCGTCCTCCCGATCGCCGATACCGTTGAGGGCATCACCGGATCCCTCTTCGACGTCTTCCTTGCTCCTTACTTCCGCGAGGCCTACCGCCCTGTCAGGCAAGGCGATCTCTTTATTGTCCGCGGTGGTATGAGGCAAGTCGAGTTCAAGGTCGTCGAGGTGGACCCACCAGAGTATGGTATTGTCGCTCAGGATACCGTCATCCACTGCGAGGGCGAGCCCATCCAGCGTGACGAGGAGGAGAACAACCTCAACGAGGTTGGTTACGATGATATTGGTGGCTGCCGTAAGCAGATGGCTCAGATCCGCGAAATGGTTGAGCTGCCCCTCAGGCATCCTCAGCTTTTCAAGTCCATTGGTATCAAGCCACCCCGTGGTGTCCTGCTTTATGGCCCTCCTGGTACCGGTAAGACTTTGATGGCTCGCGCTGTTGCCAACGAGACTGGTGCCTTTTTCTTCTTGATCAACGGCCCCGAGATCATGTCCAAGATGGCCGGTGAATCCGAGTCGAATTTGCGCAAGGCTTTCGAGGAGGCTGAGAAGAACTCACCCGCTATCATCTTCATCGATGAGATCGACTCGATCGCCCCCAAGCGTGAGAAGACTAACGGCGAAGTTGAGCGCCGTGTCGTCTCCCAGCTTCTTACTCTCATGGATGGCATGAAGGCCCGTTCCAACGTTGTTGTTATGGCTGCCACCAACCGTCCCAACTCGATCGATCCCGCTCTCCGTCGTTTCGGCCGTTTCGATCGCGAGGTCGATATCGGCATCCCCGACCCTACCGGCCGTCTTGAGATTCTCCAGATCCACACCAAGAACATGAAGCTTGCCGATGACGTCGATCTTGAGCAGATTGCTGCTGAGACCCACGGTTACGTTGGTTCTGATATTGCTGCCCTCTGCTCCGAGGCTGCGATGCAGCAGATTCGTGAGAAGATGGATCTCATTGATCTGGACGAAGACACTATCGACGCCGAGGTCCTTGACTCTCTTGGTGTTACCCAAGAGAACTTCCGCTTTGCTCTCGGTGTCTCCAACCCCTCGGCTCTTCGCGAGGTTGCCGTTGTCGAGGTTCCCAACGTCCGTTGGGAGGATATCGGTGGTCTCGAGACTGTCAAGCAGGAGCTCAGGGAGAGTGTCCAGTACCCCGTCGACCATCCCGAAAAGTTCCTCAAGTTTGGCCTTTCGCCATCTCGCGGTGTTCTATTCTACGGTCCTCCTGGTACCGGTAAGACAATGTTGGCCAAGGCTGTTGCCAACGAGTGCGCAGCCAACTTCATTTCCGTCAAGGGTCCCGAACTGCTTTCCATGTGGTTCGGTGAGTCTGAGAGCAACATCCGTGATATCTTCGACAAGGCTCGCGCTGCTGCTCCTTGCGTCGTCTTCCTCGACGAGTTGGATTCTATTGCCAAGGCCCGTGGTGGCTCTGTTGGTGATGCTGGTGGCGCTTCTGACCGTGTTGTTAACCAGCTTCTTACCGGTAAGTTGATTCTTCCTTGTTTTGTGCCATTCTGCTATGCATACTGACCTGAGGTATAGAAATGGACGGCATGACCTCCAAGAAGAATGTTTTCGTTATTGGTGCTACCAACCGTCCCGAGCAGCTCGACCCCGCACTCTGCCGTCCCGGCCGTCTCGACTCTCTCATCTACGTTCCCCTTCCTGATGAGGCGGGTCGTCTCGGTATTCTCAAGGCTCAGCTCCGCAAGACCCCTGTCGCTGCCGATGTTGACCTGAACTACATCGCTTCCAAGACCCACGGCTTCTCTGGTGCCGATCTTGGCTTCATCACCCAGCGTGCTGTCAAGATCGCCATCAAGGAGTCTATCACCGCCGATATTCAGCGCACTAAGGAGCGCGAGGCCGCTGGCGAGGATGTCGAGATGGAGGATGAGGTTGAGGACCCCGTTCCTGAGCTCACCAAGCGCCACTTCGAGGAGGCCATGTCGATGGCTCGTCGCTCCGTCAGTGACGTCGAAATCCGTCGCTATGAGGCTTTCTCCCAGCAGATGAAGAACGCTGGCCCGGGTGCTTTCTTCAAATTCCCTGAGGGTGGTGTTGAGAGCAGCGGCAACGGCGGTGCTGGTAACTCGTTTGGTGATGCTGGCAACGATGATGATCTTTACAACTAGAGGGGGGGGATTCAAGACTCACAGTATTAGAGCAGTCTTCCGCTAGCCTTGGGACTCTACTTGTATGTTAATATGCGCTCAAAGGATAGGAGTTGACGAGGTATTCCTTCAAAGTTGATTGACAATGTCTTTGCATAGTCTTTTGTTTGGCCCATCCAGGGTCGATTCAGAGCAATGGGGCACGAACGATGTGACTTATAAGATTCCACATAACAGCGGTACCCTCAGCGATTGTTTGGCATTCGGATTTCGTGACTGAGAGAAAATCATGCAGGCCATGACTTATGTTTCCGTCAACCTCGTTGTCTTTGTGTTTGACTTGGTTCCATCCATGCAGCTGCCTCCAAACTCAGTTATGAACATAGGAACAGTAACCCTAAACTGATGTCAACGTGCGGCTCATTTTTTACTCCCTTCTCAGGTTGCACCAAGTTTCTCAAATTCATTCTCAACCGTCTTCCCAAGCCTAGTCTGTGGTCAAGGTAAACTTTGTCCGGAGAATGGGTGTGGCCTCGTAATGGGCTGCCCATAGCGGTAAAATTGTTACGAATGGCTGAGGAGTTCATGGCTTTGATTTACCTTGACCACTGTGAGTGATCAGTACTGGAGTTGTATCCCACATTGTGAAAGGTACATGTGCAGTTTTCTCCCGGCCCGCGATGCTCGACGAGGGAGAATCTACTTTTGGAAACAATAAAGGCGGATCGTCTTCCTTCATAATTGATTGTAGATAATGTCGACTAATGAGCATGTACGTTACCTGTGATCTATCCATAAATCTCTTCCGCCGTAGTTGCATCTGTCTGACGAACCGATGAACGAGACGTGCAAGGCCGGGCAGCATAACGAGCCCAACCAGATGGAACGTGACAAATTGAAGCATTACCCCGAAAAGTGAAGGAGCAAGGAAGGAACAAATCTTCCAGAGTCGGAAGGAGTGGTATCAAAAGCAGGATCGTCCCTTCTGCGGATAGTGAGCCCTTCGAAACTGCCAGGTGACTGACTACCAATGTGCCTCATCCATGACAGTTCGGTCCTAAGGGCTGACGGAAAACTCTACTGAATCCCGTCCCCATCCCCTAATGCAGGTCTGGCAGAACTGAATAGGCTGAGGGATGATAGGGCGCGGGACACTCGAACCGCGAGTGGAAGGATGATTTGTGCAGTGAGTTTTGGGTTGCATATAGAGCCGTTTAAGCGCGGCATCAACGGCAGGGAAATGATAATAATAAAAAAAATGAGAAAGCCGTTGACCTTTTCGAGAAGGGTGACTCAAAGTCTCGGCCAACGTTAGACGGGAGGTTACATGTCCTGGTGGCAGATGTGCATGTTGATGGATTAGGGGAGGAGCGGGTGGAAAGTTATACCTAGGATATTCGTTTATAAAATAGATAATTAAGAAGTTCCACACGATTTGGTACACTGCAGCCAGAAGGGGAAGAAACTGCCGGGTTTTCTACAAGCTGTTGAGATATTGTCATAACAATAACTTCAAGCAGCAACAACACACATGTTATTATTCTAGTCGACATCAAACGACCCCAAAGAGAGCTATAGTTGAGAATTTCGAATTTACGCCCTATAAACGGTTTTCCCAATCATCATCAAGTCCGGGTGCCTTACCGTCCCAGCACTGTACTCAAACTCAAAAGTGCCTGAGGCCGGGGCCGATCCTTGAGAACCAAACATGAAAACGAAGCATACCTACCCACAGTGTCAACCTGGCAATGTACTTCTCAGTGAGACTGTCTTGTATTTTTCCGGTATGCTGGTTGGACCTTCTCCCGTTTCGTCAGGGACGGCATTCATTCGTTTGCTCAAGGCAAATCTGAAGCCTCGGCGTGTAAACCTGTATACTTGACATCGACGACTATGTAGTGAAGACTTTTCGTTGTGGGACGGTTGAGAACATACAAGGTGCTCGATCCGAAGCATTTAAGAGCAGTCGAAATCCGCATCATGGAACGATAGACCGTGTTCATTATTGTTTGTCCTATATTCTTGTCCGATATTTGTTGATGACCCCATTGATCAACAACTTCAGTTATGTTAGGCATAACTGGAAACAAACAAGAGGGTAAAAGCTCATAATACATGCTGAGCATTTTCTATCAGTCATCTGATTGATATCGACCAGCTACTGGCTAGTAAATGCTACGGCTCTGCGCGGTTTTGATGGAAATCCTTCGCTGATTTAGGAACCTTTGTTGTGTGCAATGCGAGTCACTATAAGTGACACTCCCAGTACTACTTTCTTCCATCATGACATCCCTGAATTCCACAACCAAGCGCACCGTGCTGTCCATATGTGTGTCTATACATCCATCCTCTTGGTTTCTGATCTCCCCAAACACATCTGCCTGGCCTCCCTGATATGCACCCGCATTCACAATATTGGAAAAGAACATCCGGGACGCTACAAAGACTCCGAACCCAAACGAAGAACAAAATAGAACGCAACCTTGGGATATCGATATGAAAATCAACTAGACCACCGACAGAAACACCGTGGAGTAGCTAGCAGCGATGCCGAAAAAGATAATGACCCCTGTGCAGAACGATCTTGAACTGACGTGACCTGACCCGACCCAATTTTGTGGAAAAGATGAGAAATGCAACATTGTGACTCGATGTTTCCCAGCTTTCGGCCATCCAGTCTTCCTTTACTTCCATTTTTGTTTTGTTCCTGCTGTACTCAAACCATTGCCCGCATTCAGAACCAGTGAAATAATACAGCTTAGACGTAAGAAGCAGAACAGGAATGACAAAAAAGAGAATCATTTGCCTTGAAAGCAGGAAGCTATTAGGCTTTCCTTGAAATTGAGATTATCGAGTCCAACCATCCCTTGTGGTATCACACAAGACACGAACTAAGGAATTAATACCACGTAACGAATACCCCGGGGGAAAAGGAAAAAAAAAAAAAAAAACTAAAAAAAAAAAAAAACAAAAAAAAACTTAAACTTGGATTAATGATGATAGATTCATACCGCAAACGACAAGGAAGAACTGAAGAGAAGGATTATGATGCAAAATGTGTGAATAGAAGCCCACTAAAATGATGCGTAAATGGCCCTAGCCGCGTTCTTGTATATATCGCGACATCGGTATTGTAGCTGCAGTCTCGGCTCCATACCCTTCTAAGAGCTCAGTGGCGCCATAGAGGGCACATCGCCATTTCCAGCCGGCTGAACCTCCTTGCCACGACTGACAGGAGCATGATAACTACCGATGCTTTGAAATCCCCTAAGAACGTAAATATTTAGTATATTTGGCCAGACGAACCACTAGAGTCGAGAGTTGCACTTACTTTGTAAGATCAAAAGCCCGGTCCTCCTCCTCCTCGGCAGGGCTCGGGGGTTCTTCTACGCCGACCGTGGCGCCCCGGCTGGCTGTTCTCGTCGGACTTGCACTCCCGGCAGGCGACTTACTCCGCGCCGGTGGTGGGGGGCTGCTGCTCTGCGATGGCAGGTTCCCATGTGTCTTGGAGGGGCTGGCGTCGTACTGAGCAGGCTTTAGCGGCGTACTTGAAATATCGGCATATCTCCAGAACGGGGCGGGTGAGCTAGTCGGCATGTGTTGACTAGGCCGTTGGGCCGTGCTGGGGGGTACAAGCCGGGGATTAACTCGGTTTGGAGCCGGCGTAACGAGAGACGCACCGTCTTCCTGCAGGTACGACGGTCCCAACGTCGGCGATGCAGGCGTATCCTCCACTATCCCCAATGTACTCATTGTCGCAGGCTTCCGGATCGTCGACAGCGGGCTAGCCTCCGTACCATCCTCTGCTTTGTCAGGGAGAGGTTTGCGCTGGGCGGCGCGCACAGGCGTTGATTGCGAGTCGCGCAGTGTTGGGTGCGGTTGTGGCTGTGGCGAGTCAGAAGGCGAAATCTTCCGCTTACGAGACGACGCAGGCTCCTTGGCGGCCATGTCCTTCGGACCCTGCGTGATGTAATTCAGCCCGCTAGGAGAAGCTGGGTTAGAGGTGCCTCTATGTCCACCACGACCACCTCGGTACGCATTGCGTATCATGTCTTCACGGGCGTCGGCAACAATCTGCCACTTCATGCCTTTGCCAGGCTCGTCTGTCGATCTTGCGACCTTCTCGAATGACTTGTTCAACGAAAGATTGTGTCGAATCGAGTTCTGGAATAACATGTCTGTCAGCTATCCAAGTGCGCGAGGGTACAGCAACCGCTGGAGAAACATACCTGCCAGCCACCAGCGGGTTGATGCCTATAGTATGAGTAGCGGTTCATGATGAACTGATAGATGCCGGAGAGATTGAGCTTCTGGTCTTCCGTGTTCATGATCGCCTGCGTGATCATTTGTGCATAGCTGAACTGTGGCTTGATGTGTTGGTTTTCGTCGAGACTAAGATCTACCTCGTTGTTGGTCATGACAAGCGGACCTGCCAGACCTTCGTGAACCGTCCTGTGCATCGGCGGTCGGGGAAGGTTAAGGGGAGGAGTGACGCCTCTCCTGTAGTCTGGAGGAGCTGGAGCCAATGCCTTCTGCGGTCCTTGGTTTCGGGGGGCGGCCTTGCTGGTCGGAGACACGGCCTGAAAAGCATGCGATTCTCCCGCTGAGGGAAGGGGATGGCGAGCTTGGCGAGGAGAAACCTGCGAGTCTGGGGGAACGATGCCGGCTCGCTCGAGATAGTCCCTTTTGATTTGAAGAGCACTGATATCGGCAGGCAGAACAAACATCATCTCCATACCGCCAATCTCGATGACCTCGCCACTTCTCAGAGGCCCCTCGTCGCCCACTTTCCACGGGACACCATCAACCTTGAGCGCATTGCGGCCCTTGACGCGCAACCACCACTGCTCCTCTGTAGACTTGAAGTAGATAAGAGCATGCTGGCGAGAAACCTGCTTGTTGGGGCCAAGGTCGATGTGTACCACTTTGCTGGGGTCTTCCTCCTGGCTCTGGCCGGCGGTAGCTTGTACAGGTTCGGAGGAACGACCGATATTGACATTGAGGCTCATGATGTAGTAGGTCCAGTCAAAGGCCGCGATTTTAGCAAAGGCCTGAACGCCCTGGCTCGACTCGTGGATGCTGTTGGAGTGGTCCTTGCTAGCCTGAACATTCTTGGGCATCTCAAGATACTGTATCACGCGTGCCACCACCTGGTCATCGTCGTTCATGTCTAGAGCTGACTGGTCGGCAACTAATGACGAGTCGGCCTCGTCGGCGAGATCGGTCGGCGCATCGTCGTCCTGCAGCGAAGAAACAAAAGCGTGGTTAGTGGGGATTCGGCAGCCTAAGGGGTAGTCAAAGAAAGTAACAAAGCGTGGCAAAGGAGAGGGATGTGCGAGAGCAGGGTGCGCCTTACCTTCTTGCGACGCTTCGAGGGCCGTGAGGGCGACGAGTCTCCGGTAACTGGATCGCTGATATTATGCTGGTCGGCAGTGTTGAAGCTCGCCATATGCTTCGGTGGTGAAGGCGACATTGTGTGCGTGGGCGAAAGCGCTAGCACATGCGCTTGAGGTAGAGGTCTGATGGAGCTCGGGGATCGGAGGGGTTGAGGAGGTCGTAAGTAAACAGAGAGGTGTCAGGGGCCCGGGTGGTGGAAGTGGGTAGGCATCTACCGAGACCAATGTTCGGGTGGTGTAGCGGAGGGCGACGTTGGCAGACGTAATCAATATTGCCAGATCGGAGGGCGGCGCAGGTGCCGGATTGGTGTGCGTGCGGTTGCGGGCGATGAAGGTCGTGAAGTGTGGACGAAGATCAATTGCGACAAATTTATTGAACTTCACAGTTCCATCGATTAGAACCGGTTCCCCAGTCCCATCCCCTGCGTTGATGGCAGATGCTGCAAGGGGCCGCCAAGCCTTGGACCTTCCAATTACCAATGTCTGCAGGCCGGGACAGTCAGACAACGTCAACAAGTTGGTTGAAGACAATGGAAGGGGGCCTCGGGATGGTCAAAGGGCGCTGTGAGACTGATGGATAGCAGCGCGGCGATTTTGGGACACTTTCTTTCTTTCCTTCTTTGAAGCTTCAACTTTTGGCTGGATGCGTGAGCTCCTCGGTCGTGGGGGGGTAAGAAGAAACAAACCAGTTTTTCTCGGGCTCAAAGGATTCAAGATTGGACACTGTACAACTCGAGAGCAGAGAGAGGGGTTGCAGTGGTCGAATGCGGCCCTGGGTTTCTGGCTAGTAGGTAGGTGGCTACTGTAGTAGGCAGGAGGTTTTTTGTATTTGAAGACACCACAGCAAAAAGGTGAGAATGATTTGTTTAATTGACCCGGCGACGCTTTCTCCAAATCCCAGGTTTTTCGCGTGCGCAATTGGGAGGCATGCGCAGAATGCGGATTGAAGCAGGCACAGGCCAGTCACTGGCCAATGACTGCGTCAAATTACTGGGATTTTAGCGGGGCAAAGGTGGAGCATTCACGTGTTCAAGCTTCCGTCCACTCTGTTCGTCATCACTCCTTTCAAGCTAAGTAACTGAAGTAACGCAACGCAACCTAACGCCCTTCGGTGCAGTGTGGTCAACAACGGACCTCCTTCGATTTCCCCCCCAATAGTGACTTATGTTGCAACAACAAAGTTGAAAAAGCAAACCAAAATGTTGCTCCAACACTGACATCAAATGTATTGCCAATATCCGGTGAAATATGCAAGCAAAGCCCCGTGCCATTTCCAGACACCGCAAACAAAGCAATCACCACGCATCCTTCGGTCGCTTGTCCAAGGTTTGTTTACATCAATCAGGGGGGGTGACGAATCAAGCGATAATGGATTGTCTTCTCTCTTGGCCGGGGTGGGGGGGTAAGTACACTTGACATCGAAGATGCACCGTTTGAGAGCTGTCTTTTCCACACCGTGACTCTTTCGTCCGCCCAGTCCTGTCTCCTTCCGCAGCACTCCAATGGGCAGCTAGCAAGTCAATTTGGCAGACGGGAATGGATGGCAAATGGCTGGGCAGTCTGGGGGGCAGGGGCGGGTACCTGAGCACCTAGCTCCAGCCTCGATGGGATTTGGGCGTGCCCCCTGCTGTTAGGGGGTTGGCGGGGCTTGCTAGGATGGGAAGTTTAAGGTTGGGGCTTTTGGTGACAATTTGGAGAGATTTCCATAACCAGAATTACACGTTTCGCACAATCATCGCCTTCGTCGCCTTGGGCTCTGAAGAAACAGATAGCAAATTTATATGGCAGTTGCTTTCGAGCTCGTCTTCGTTATACCGCTGGAATGGCAATTCGGCACAGCACCCGAAAGTAGTATGTATAGTAGTGCCGAGAACGACAAAAAAGGGGGGAAGCGGACGTATCATTCTGCACACTGTGCAAGTAAACAAACCTCCCATGCTCCTTTTTCTTCTTTCACTTCTCACGTACCGTCTTGGATCAGCATGTTGGCCCTTGATCTCCAGCGCATGCTGCCACCAGCTGTTCGACCCTCTTTAGTCACTTGGTGCACGGTTTGATGTATCCTGCGAACGCTTCCTTTGAAGCAACTTCATCAACCAGCCCTTCCCAACTAACACAACCCCGAGCCATGAGGGAGAAGTTGAAAGGTGGGTGCATTTTGTTCAAGCCAACGGAGCCGTTCTATATACAAAGGTTCCGTGAACGCACTCAAAATTAGATGCTCGCTCATCCCATCATGAAAAAAAAAAAAAAAAACATAGGAAACTCTAAGAAAAAAAGAAAAAAAAGTGGGGTGTGTCTGTATGCTTGCCTCCTCTTCTTGACCGCTTTATAAATGCTTCTAACGTACTGCCTTTCCCTTTTATTTTCCCTTTTCTGAAACATTGCTCTCCATATACAAGGATATCTCCATGACTTGTTGAGTCTTTTCCACGTGGCCGCCCTTATCATATGTTAATACAAGTATATACAGAGTGCTTTTTAAAAGACGCCAACCAGCCAAGAGAATTCCAAAAAAGTTCCCCACAAGCCCAGGAACGCCAGCCATATCCGGTGCCTAACTTTTCTTCGATGATGATGATGATGATGGATAACAATGGATGATCATATACATCAAGTAACAGTTCAGTCAAAGAGCAATGACGTGGCAGTCATGGTACCATCGATCACAGAGACATGACAGGGTCAACACGTTTAGGCCTTGCCGCCACGCTTCTTAGGGTTGCTGGGTCCCTTGGACTTCTTACCGCCCTTCTTCTTCTCGCTGTTCTCAACAAACTTGACCAGCTCATCGATATTGCGGTTGTCAACGCCGACAGCGCTGGGCACAACACTTCCGATACCAGCCGCGCCAGCGGTGGCGTTGCGAGGGCTAAAGCCGAGACTACCCTTCGCGCGGCGAGCCTGGAGCTCCTTGGTGGCCTTGGCGACCGACACGGCATTGTGAGTGAGCTGAGTAAGCCAGTGCTCGGCCTCCTTGGTGTTCTTGTCCTCAGGACCCAGGAGGGTCTTGAAGATGTTGTAACTCTCGCGCATGCGGTCGACGGCCTTCTTAGCATCCTGGTCGAGGGCAAGGGCCTGAGCAAGCTGGAACAAGAGGGTGGCGGAGTGCACGGTCTGCTCGCCAAAGACCTTGTTGCACACACGGAGGGACTCCTCGAACCAGCGGCGGGACTCGTGGTAGGCCTTGATGCTCTGCAACATGACGGCGTAGTTGTTCATGGTGGTGATCGTATCGGGATGGTCAGGTCCATAGATGACCTTCCAGAGATCAAGAGCATGTCTGGCGTAGAGGAGAGCCTCCTTACTGTCACCACGCTGGTGGAGGAAAAGAGAGAGGTTGAGGTAGTTCAACACGGTCTCGGAGGAGTCAAGGCCGACGGTACGCTCGGCAACGATGGCGGCCTTGCGGGACAGCTCAACAGCGGCATCCTTCTGGCCCAGCTGGTAGTAGAGCTGCGACAGGGTATGGTACATCTGGGCAACCTCGGGGTGGACGAGACCATAGATCTGCTCATGCAGAGAGAGGGACTCGAGGAGAAGGTCCTCGCCGAGCTTCTTCTGGTTCTGGTAGATAGAGAGACGGCCGGCCTCGAGAGCCTCCTCGGCAAGGGCGCTACGGGGGGTAGAGTCCTTGACAATAGGAACAACATTGACGAAGTCGTCAGGGCTGAAGGTGTGGGGCACGGTCGCAACAGGAGCGGCGGCCACAGGGGACGTCTCACGAGCAGCCTTCTTCTTCTTCTTCTTTTTGTTGCCATCCTCAACGGGGGCAGGAGCAGGGGCAACAGGCTTCTCAGCAACAGGCTCAGCCTCACCCTCGGTGGCGACGAAAGCGTACTTCTTGTTCTGAATCTGGACACCGAGCTTTTGGGAAACCTCGCGGAGCATCTGGACGTGCTGGAGCTGGTTGTACCAGCCATCCTCCAGAGTAAATCTGAAGCGGTGAAGGATCTCCTGCTGCATGGCTTCCCTCAAACTTTCAGGAGTGACCTTCTCGAAGCTGTAGTCGGCATCGCTGAACACCTTGCGGAGCTCCTCATCGACTTCGGCGACAGGCGACGAGTTAAGACCGAAGCCCAAGAAGCAGTTGAGAAGGTGGGCCAAGCAGGCTGAAGTCAAAGGCAGAGGCAAATATCTCAAGTACTTGGCAGCGACGTGCTTGAAAGCTCTGGCAATCATCTCACGAACGCAGAGCTGACGGAAGCACTCGACGCGGGTACCCTCGCTGAGGGTAGCAAGCTTACCGAGGTAACGCATGTTGATACCACGGCGGTGCAGAAGGCGGGTGAGCGAACGGCCATCCATGGGGAAGCTGATGTCGGACTCCTTGAGATCGTTCAGAAGGGCAGGGATGACCGAGTCACGGAGGTAGGTGCAGGCGTCACGGACGTCCTGCTCATCCTGGGCCATCTCGGCCTTCTCCTCCTCAGTCTGAGGAACCTGGCCGCTGAAAACATCGGGGTTCAAGGCAAACTTGAAGTTGCTGATGTCGATGCGCTCATCCTCCTTGGCGGCTTCCTCATCCTTCTTCTCGGCGACCTCGGTGGACTCAGAAGCTTCCTCGGTCTTCTCAGTCACCTCAGCCTTGGGCTCCTCAGACTTCTCAGCCTCCTCGGTCTTGGTCTCCTCGGTCTTGGCCTCCTCGGTGGCCTCCTCGCCCTCCTTCTTCTCTTCAGGCTTCTTGATGATGCCGCGCTTCAGGAGCTCGGCCTGGACGTACTCCCTGGTCTTTTGCTTGGCCAAAGCCTCGACAAGCTCAGGGCGGAGCACAGTCATGCGGTGAGGGTATTCAGATCCCTCAGGTCCGCTCTCCTCCATCCAGGCAATGTCCAAGGGAGTGATGCGATACAGGTCCAAAACGTACTTGCGTCCATCAGTTCCGAGAAGACCCTTCATCTCAACACTGGCCTCAAGATCGTGGCGCTTGTTCTCCTTGTCCCAAACGGCGTGCTTCTTGACGCGCAGGGCAGTGGCGAGCTTCTCGAAAGAAGGGGCGAAGCGCTCATCAGCGGCAACAATGTCCTTACCGTCGACAGCACCGTAGTGGATTTGGTTCTCCCCAGCCTCGGGCTGCTTGAAAATGCCGGGAACAATGCTCTGGCCGACAATGCGCTTACCGAGATAATCGATAACGACGGTGCCGGGAGTGTAGAGACCGTCAATGTCAAGCTGGTTCACGAGCTTGACACCGAGAACATCCTTGCCAGTGGCAACGCGGGCCGCCTCATCGCCACCCTCGCTGGTGAAAGTGCCAACACCGTCAGCGCCGAAAGAGAAGAAGATGTTGTTGTAGACGAAGATCTGCGCATCCTTGTCCTCAGTAGGGTTGAGAGGGGCGACCTCGCCACGAGCGACAAGGACGGCACCGCGGGCAGCGGCATCAGTGTAGTCAGCAAAGAGCTTAGCAAGCAGACGCTCCCTGAAGACGCGATCCTGGATGGTCTCCTTGGGAAGCTCCTTGGCAGACTGAAACTCCTCGTTCCAATCCCTCAAAGAGTCGACGTTCTCAGCGCCGCCGAGCAGGTAGGTCTCCTGCGAGCGGGTGTTGTCGGCCTCGTGGGCAATAAGGGAGGAGTTGATGGAAGGAACCAACCACGGCGCAGACGGGATAGTGTTGCCGACTTGGAACGTAGCCAAGGGATCCTTTTGGCTAGAAAACTCCTGGAACTTCTTGAACGACTCCTCGAAAGAAGGAGAAAGCTTCTTGAGAAGGGTAAAGAGAGAGTGAGAGGCGCAATCCTTGGGGGCCGGCTTGGGGAGAGGGTCGAACTTGGCATTGCTGCACCTGTTGACGAAGAAGCCACCAACATGGGCGGTAACGTGGTGCTGCTCACCCTCGTTGGTCTGGATGACAAGGTAGAGAAGGTGGCCCTTTTGCCTCCAGTATGCAGGAGGGGGGTTCCAGGGGGATAGGGAGATGGACTTGATGCTCTTGGGGGCGGGGCCGGTCTCCTTAGGGAGCAGGATAGCCAGGTCAGCAGGGGCCTGGAAGTCGTACTCCTTGATCTCGGCCTCGGGGGCATCGGGGTTCTCAACCACAATATCGTCGTGAACGGAAACGCCGGCAAGAACGCCGTGGACTGTATCGGTGCGGTCTCCGGAAGCACCAATCAGTTCGCGAATGCGGATGAGGTGAATGCGGGCCTCCTTTTCAGTGTAGGGGTCCTCGACAAGGTGTAGTTGGGCGCCGTGCTCGAGACCCTCGACGTCGGAAACCTGGATGAAGTCGTTGATCTTCTTGCCGTTGAACTCGAGGTGGAAGCACGAGAACTCGATGGCGATGGGGTGCTCAATTATCGACTGGCGGATCTCATGGATCTGCTCCATAGGGGACACCTGTTGCGCCGTCTTAGAACACTGGTTATTGGTGGTGATATGCGGTCATGGGACACATACAGGAATATCAAGGGTCTCGGTGGTGTTGGGGAGAACGATGGTCACGACGAAGGGCTGGTCCTCGAGGGCCTGCTCGGCGCCCTCCTCCGTCTGTTCCTGTTCTGTTGTGCCATTGACATCGGCCGGAGGCGTCTGGGTCTCGGGAACCTCGGGGACGGGGTTGCCTGGTGGGAGAAGAGGCTTGTGTTAGCGACGATGGACGGCGGCAGGTCTGGCAGATGGCATGTGTGCAGCGGGTAGGCAGGTGGGTAGGTGGGTGGGTAGGTAGGTATGACAGGTCCGGGGCTCGTCTCGTATCGAGTTTAATATGTACGACGCGGTGCTTGGGACTTGGTGTTGGGGTTGGCTTCTTACCCTCGGCAGCGGGAGTGGTTGCTTGGGATGCGTCCGCCATGATTGTGAGTCGATACCTTGTGGACTAGCGCAGCAAGGTGTGGTGGACAAGGACAAAAAGAAGACAGGCTCAGGTATATGAAGTGAGGTTGAAAGGAGGGGAATGGGGACAGCGGCTCGGTCGAGATACGGTCCTGGTCCTGGGCCTGGTCCTGGTCTCGGGATTCGAGGCACACAAAAAAAGAGTGGTTTAAAAGTGGAATTCTACAAGTCCCTCGAACCGGGCAAGGCGACAGAAAAAACAGATCAGAGAGTCCAATTGGGAGGTTATGGGGAAAAGTTCAAGACGTGCAAGCCGTAGAGAGGTCTCACGTCCAGAAATATATTCAGAGTATGTAGGGTGTGCAGGTCCTGTAAATGACTCTTTCCCTTCACCTTCGGCCTTTGACCATAGTCTGGGGGCGTCGGATCAAACATCAACTTTTTTTTTCTCGTCTCGGCCTATGATGCAGGTTACTGCCGGGTCCAGCGGCCGGCAACAGCCCGAGACCAGGGCATGACTCGAGGCGGGCAAAGGCGGGCAGGCGGGTACCGCGAGTGGTAAGGTACCTCCGGGTATACATGGGTTTGAAAGGGTCCATCAAATACCTCTGCTTCCTCTCCATTCCCACGCCTTCAACACTTCTGCGATCGAGGGAGGGACGGGAGACACGGAGCCTCTATAACCACTATTTACAGCGCCGAGTACCCGCCCTCCGACGCAGCTCGCGACACTCCAAGCAAGGGCGAAGACGGGCAGCACTCGACCTAAAAATTCAGAAAAGTCACTCCCCACTGCAG